ATGATATATTTTCTAAGCCAGTTGAGCACCTTTCGTCAACTTAAACATTCCCTATCGCATCCCACGAACCTTTTGAATTTTAATGTAATGAGGTAGGTTCAGGCATAGGTATAATGTTAGTTCTAATTTATCCGCACTAAAATATTGTAGAAGTCGCCGTCGAAATCACGTCACCACGTTGAGCGGAAAGCAGTTTCGGTAACCACTGAGAGGGCTGACTGGTATCCTAGGTTAGGACGAATCCTCTTTCAACAGGAACGGCACTTTATTATACCTTAGAAAAAGAGTTCCACTAAGCTTTCGGTAAATCCATTTCCCATTTTTATTATCAAATTCTGATGATTTGGGGACACAAAAATGGAGAGAAACAACAGAACCATATCAGGCTGCAGGTTAAGCGACTTATAACAAGATAGTAGAAGAGTAAAAGAGTAAAACATCTAACGTGTTTGATTTCCTCTGGAGGGTCGTAAGAAAATACTGTCGTGTACGCTTACGATTTTTGTCGCTAATGTATCTGTTTTCACTATTTCCAATATCCTTGGAATAAAATCTTTATTTATGACTGGCAATTATTTAAGATCTGGTTCTAACATCTAATTTTCAAATTAGGGGTAGGTAAGGATTATGAAAATTATTTTATAATAGTAATTTTCAAGTACGTTTTATAAAAGTCTAAAGCAAATCATGCCTAATATTCCGAACTAAACGTTGTATGCTTTCATATTTTTTTTATTCAATAGCAAATATACTAAACACCTTCCTCTCACTACATGGCCAGGAAAATTTGAAACCAAATTTCGTGGACGTCTTTAAACATTCAAAGATATCGTTGTAAAAAATTAATATATGTATAGCCAATGAAAAATGTTGATGGATAGAAATCGAAAGTATTTTTGCGACGTCACGTTGGCATCATAGATTCAAAAAATGACGTCAAATAGGTTGGTCATGATTAAATTCGGCGCACAGAATAGCAACGAACAAGTATAACAAAGGAGCTGACTGAATCATGTCAGTCAAATAGGCTCAAACAATCCCACCAACCAGCTTTCATCGGCATTCAAAGCAGAGAGTTGTTCGGCACGCGTATATCGAAGATATATCTTTATAGGCGGCTACAGACGCACGCTGATGACTAAATTCATTAGCGCGCGTGCATTAACGTGCATGCATCGACACGAATTTGCTTTATGTACAGACGCTCAAACTTTTCTACCTACTTTTAATCGGTATGCGCGACAAAAGAAGTTGTGATGTCGTCCGATGAAGAGCTCGCTGTTATGGTAGTGGCGTGCGATTACGTTTTAAAAAGTGCCAAAAAGTCGAAAAAGTGTCGTCGTCTGTGGTCTGAGGAATGGCTTTTGAAAAGGCAGTCATTTTCACATATTAACTTTTGGGAAAATTGAAAGGAGAACCCAATGATTGGCGTAATTATCTACGAATGGATGAGGATACCTATGTAGAATTGTTAGAAATGGTTACTCCACTAATAAAACGTCAGGACACAGTTATGAGATCTGGAATAAGTGCACACGAACGGTTAACCGCAACCCTTCGATATTTGGCGACTGGACGAAATTATCACGATTTAAGATTTTCCACGATAATATCTCCGCAAGCGTTGAGCGAAATAATTCCTGAAACATGCTCATCTATATACCAAGTAAAAAATACATGAAGGTAAGAAAAACATAAAATATATTTTCATTAAATAACGAAAAACATAACAGCATAGGTATCCATAACAGCATATTATTAATTATTGTAAAGGATTATAAGAGCCGTAATACACAGCAGCTGTATTACTATTATTAATTGTTGTTGGTTGGTTGGTTGGTTGGTGTAGACTGTAGACTGAGTCCAGATGGGATCACAGTTTGGTGGCGGAGGGAATAATGTATTACTATTATGTTGTACTATGGTGTTGGTTGGAGTTGATTGGGTTCGGACGTTATTCTTGTATGTTCGTTAACTTTTCCTAACTCCGCTTGGCATATATACATCTTCCAACGCAGATCCACTTCTTTTCGACTTTTGTACTTTTTTATGTTCTCTACACGCAAAGTATTAATTTTTGTTATGACTGATTGTTTTGTAGCATTAGGTTGAATACTTTGTAACTTTTCCTTTAACAATGTATATGCTGCTTTTTTATTTTTATCTAGACATTCTTTTGCTTTCGTTTGCCAGAGACAATGATGTGCCCTGTACAATTCAATGAATTCTGTGGTGAAGTCTCGAGTCACTGTTCTGATGTCAGACATCTCTACAATCAATAAAAATTACCTACTCGAAGATAATTCGTACTTCGTTGATCAACGGCACTGACCTCTGATTGTCTGCGGAATTCGCACGTTCTTTTGCATCTACACGTTGAGACTTACATGCGCGTCTCTGCACGTGCGTTTAAAATTTCTGTCGAGAAGTGCAATTTGCACGCCACGCCAATCGTGAACGCACGTTCATGAACGCTGCCGATATCTGCATACAGATTGACGTTATTGAGTGCGCATTTACGAAAGCGCGTTTATGTATTAAGTCATAAGCGTGTGTCTGTAGCCGCCTTATCACTCAAGTTTTAGAGGCAAATGTAGGAGACAATCTATGATGTATGAGATATGCCTAATACGTGCGTAGAATTACTTGGAGCGGAAACGTATGATTTGCTAGCACCAAATAATTGACATACAGTTTTCCTCAGCCGCTTCATCCCCAAAAAACCATACTTTTACCTTTGCAAATTTTTTTATGAAACGTTAAAAAACGAAATTTTTCTATCGTTTTTGACCGCCGCGTTGTATAGATGTCATACAATATCGAGAAACCTATCACATTTCGAAAAATTTTTCGTGATTACAATACTTCTATAGTCAACGCCAAACAAAGTGGCGTGCACGTCATCACGATAAAAATTCCCCGACCTAATGCCTAGGTTTCTATCACAAACAATTGCTCTATTGCAGTTTCATATTAATGTGATATATAAATTGTAAAATGGTCATTACTCTCTTATTATGGTTAATAGTCATATAAACATTGTTAGTAAAATATCACATAAGTTGCTTTCTGATAAATTTAGACGCATTATGCGAAATAAAATGTTTTGCAAACGCTCCAATCACTTATCGACATGTAAACGCACTAAACCGATTTCGCAGCGTTGACACATTGTCACCTTGAAACTTATTTAAACTGGGAACTGACATTTGTATTAATTTTGACACTGAATCAATTTGTGGCATTTCAAATCTTTATAGATCCTTTGGCCCCGCATACTGTAAATCAACAACTGTTTGTTTCAAAACAAAATTATTCATTTTACGAGTAGATAAAGGCAATTTTGGTATATAAAGATGCCCAAACAGTTAAATAGTCGGTGTAAGGAACTCGTGGCCTCGTTAATGCACTACTTTGAGCAAGAAAGGGACAACAACGGGCCTTTGTTGCCTTTAAATGCTGTTCAAGAGGTAGGTTACTAATAATTATATGTAATGTATATTAATAATAGTGAAATTTTATTTCATTTTTTGTAGCGTGTTGCTGCTGCTTTAAAAATTAGTTTAAGGACAGTTAGTCGTATTTCCGAGGGTGTGAAAAGTGATGCAAATTTAGAATCGCCCAAGAAAAAGCGGAGTTATATTAAACGTGTAACCAACACAGCGACATTGGATACAAGTGCCATTCGAGAAGTGATCTATAATATGTATCACAAAAGTAAGATCTTATTATAATAACTTATCAGAAATTTGCATTAATTTGTTAACTAAATTATAATGTCATATTACACATGGTTTCAGAAGAACAAGTTACGATACAAACTTTATGGTCTCGATTAAGAGATAGGGCATTATTTGATGGTAGTGCCACGTCTTTAAGGCGGTTGCTTAGAGATCTTGGATTTAAGTGGCTTAAGGACAATCCGCGACGAGGGCTCATGGAACTACCAAGTATAGCTTTGAAAAGGGTGGAATTTCTAAGGCAATACAATCAAGCCAAGGTTGAGGCCTTATACCAGTTTGTCTTCCTCGATGAAACTTGGATATTTCAAAATGGGACCATAGGTCGCTCTTGGCAAAATGGAAACCAAAAAAGCGTGAAAGCTATTAAAACAGATGGTAAAAGGTATGTACTTTTACACAATTTGCACTATAAAATTTAAAACCAATATATTTTAGATACATTATATTACATGCTGGAAATGAAAATGGGTTTATTGAGGGTAGTGAAGCGATATTTTCTTCGAAAACAAAATTGAGCGATTACCATGGAGAGATGAACCAGGACAATTTTTGAAATGGTTTCAACATCAGTTATTAGAAAAATTGGAGAGTCCATCTATGATTATACTGGATAACGCCCCTTATCACAGCATGATATTGAACAAAGTGCCCAACAATGCATGAACAAAAAAAAATATCCAAGACTGGTTGACAAATCAAAACATACCATTTTCAAACACAATGTTTAAAACAGAGCTATTGAGTATTGTTGCTCGGTACATAATGCTTCTTAATTATATATATTTTGGTCGACAGTTTATATTTCTTTTGTTTATTCCTATTCTTAAAATAACTGCTTTTTTAGAAACAAACCACCTAAAATATACGTGATTGATGAATTGGCGGAACAACATGGGCACAAAGTTCTTCGTCTGCCTCCTTACCATTGTATATTTAACCCTATTGAGTTAATTTGGGGCATAGCAAAAGGTTACTATAACAGACATATTGGTAGAGATGGTAACAGTGAAAAAGACTGTTTGGATATGTGGAACGAGGCTCTACAAACGGTTACCCCAGACATGTGGAAAAATAGTGTTCGACATACTGAGCAAGAAATTTTTAAATGGTATGAAAGAGAACGAATTTTTGATCGACCAGACATCGAACCTTTAATAATCAACTTTGAGAGTGATGAAGATTCAGATTCAGACAGCGCTGAAGAAAGAAACTCCGACTAACTTTATTGTACAGAAAAAGCTTACACCAGTAGCTTACCTAATTTTAGAATGCATTTTTCTGTATGAATTCTGTAAAATAAATACCATGCATAAAATTTGGAGGACCCCATTTGGATTTTTATTCAGTACCTTTAAGCTATCAATTAAATATGGTAGTTTCATAGTGTCATCTGATCAATAATTGTCATACTTAATGATTATGCAAGTACAGATCTATAATTTTATTATACTATTATTTTTGTTCTCATTTGAGGTTAATATTGCTTATAAACCTAGATATGTAAATAATAAATTTTATTATTTTACAAAAAGTTTGGCAACAATGTAAATTTTTATTTTTTATTTTTTATGACATATTCGAAAGGTGCCTTTCAATAGAAGAAGATTAATATAACATATCGCTTTGACTGACGACCTAATTACTACAATGCATACCAGTCGGTCGTTTTTTAAAGATAGTAACGGGTGTTTTTTTTCGATGTATAGAACTTTAAGTTGACATTACTTTTGAAAATGGCGACCGATTTGACAGCTGTCAAGTGATTTGTTCTCAGTTTGTTTTAGTAATTCATCATAAGTAGACTTACGCCTGAACAACGCTTGCAAATTGCGCAGTTTTATTTCGAAAATAATGGTTCTGTGCGGAATACGTATCGCGCACTACGTCCATTTTATCGTCGACAAAATCGTCCATCAGACCAGTTAATTCGATTAACCATGGAACGTTTTCGCACCACGTTTACTCTAATTGATAACTCGCTTCCCCAGAGATGCCGTACAGTGCATACAGAAGAAGCTACTGTAGCGCGTAGCATTGAGGAAGACCCGAATGAGTCCATCCGCCATCGAGCACAGGAATTGGATCTGTGTCCATCCACATTATGGAAGATCTTGCGGAAGGATCTTGGTTTGCGTGCTTACAAAATCCAGCTCGTGCAAGAATTGAAGCCAAACGATCATCAAGCAAGGCGTAGATTCGTTGAACAGACCGGGAGCTGTGGGCAAAAATGGGGGGGTCATGTGATACAGCAGGAAACCTACTCAGAACGATAGTACTACATGAAAAAATAACTTCTAGCACTATGGCGTCACTTGACAGCGGTACATGTAAGTACAGGGGATAATTGAATTTTCTGTCCAAAAGGGGTTGGAAAAGTCTAAATGATTTTTTACGGCTTTCTTTAGTATCACAGATGCCAACAAAATAATCACGATGCACTTGCCGTACGGAAATAATGGTGCCGGAAGCCATAACAAATTTTTAATTTTCAGGAAGTTTTCTATGCGGAAAAATTAATTAAATGACGTACGGCATTGTTGTTCTGTAATTTTTTACATTTAAAGTTTACCAACGCCGTACATATATGCTGGTACAGGGGTGAGAAAACTCGGGTTGCAACCCCTCTATGGACTAAAAATTGTCGTTAATTTATCAAATACTATTAAAATTATTTAATTTTAAGTTGTATCAATTCACCACCATTATACTATATGAGGGTAGGGGGTTGCGACCCAAGTTTTCTCACCCCTGTACCAACAGATATGTACGGTGTTGGTAAATTTTAAATGTAAAAAATTACAGAAAGGTAACCGTAACAATGCCGTACGTTAATTAATTAATTTTTCCGCATAGAAAATTTCCTGAAAATTAAAAATTTTTTATGGCTTCCGGCACCATTAGTTCCATACGGCAGTGCATCGTGATTATTTTGTTAGCATCTGTGATACTAAAGAAAGCCGTAAAAAATCATTTAGTCTTGTCCGACCCCATCTCAAGTGACGGCATAGTGCTAGAAGTTATTTTTTCATGTAGTACTATCGTTCTGAGTAGGTTTCCTGCAGTATCACATGACCCCCCCCATTTTTGCCCACAACTCCCGGTCTGGGCCAAAATCGAGATTGCCGTTGCTCCCGATTTTCATAAGCGAATTTTGTTTAGCGATTAAACGCACTTCTGGTTGAATGGCTACGTCAACAAACAAAACTGCCGCATTTGGAGCGAAGCTAATCCTCAACTCTATGTCGAAAGGCCGTTACATCCGGAAAAACTGACTGTTTGGTGCGCTTTATGGGCTGGAGGAATCATTGGTCCGTACTTCTTCCAAAACGATGATGGCCAGAAAGTTACAGTCAATGGTGATCGGTATAGAGCCATGATTACTAACTTATTCATCCCTGAATTGAACAATCATGATGTCTAGGAGCTGTGGTTCCAACAAGATGGCGCAACATGTCACACAGCTCGTGCTATAATCGATTTATTGAAAGACTCGTATGGTGACCGCCTAATTTCACGTTTTGGACCTGTGAATTGGCCTCCAAGATCTTGTGATTTAACACCGCTAGACTATTTTCTGTGGGGCTATGTAAAGTCATTGGTCTATGCGGAAAAGCTACAGACGCTAGACCATTCGCCATGTTATTGCCGATATACGGCCACAAATGTTGGAAAAAGTTATCGAAAAGTGGACGTCCAAAATGGACTACATCCGAGCCAGCCGTGGCAGTCATATGCCAGAAATCATATTTAAAATGTAATGCCACAAGATTATCTTTCGAATAAAAAATATTTATGTCAATTGAATAATCCATCGTTTTTTTTTTTTTTTTTTTATTCAATAAAAAAAAATACAATTGCCGCATCGGCCTGATGGTCATTAGCGGCGGAGCAGTACACAGTGTTACACTAAATTTTATGAGCATAGTTGGTGGTTTGTAAAAATAAGAGTAGATTGTTTATGTTACATTCTGAGCCTATAATGTCTATTAAGCTAGATCCTAAGTTGGAGGACACTCTTTGGTATTCTAGCATGGGACACTCCACTAAAATGTGCTTAACGGTGAGGGACACTTCACAAATTGTACAAAGAGGTACGGGATCTCCCGATATGAGGTAACCATGTGTGGCCCTGGTGTGTCCCAGACGAAGACGGGTCAGCAGAACCTGGTGCCTTCTATTTGTAGTGTTGATCTGCCAGGAACCAAGACGAGATTTCACTTCAAGAAGCTTCGCTGATCCGCTTCTCCATTTATTGTTAAACTGTTCTATTGCCATGTTGTGGAAGTATGTCTTGATATCGGAAACAGGAATCTTTTGTATTGTCTGCATTTTGGCGTCCGCCGCTGATCTTGCGCCCCTGTCCGCCATTTCGTTGCCCAATATGGATTTATGTGAGGGAACCCATAATAGAGTTATCTCCTTGTTTAGAAGTAAGTTCCGGTGTATTTCCTCCTTGATTAGGTTGACCAGTGGATTTTTGGGATTCAGTTTGTTTATGGACTCGATTGAATTTAAGGAGTCTGTAATTATTACCCACCTCTGATAAGGACTGTTTTTGATAAACTGGACAGCTTCTCTGATTGCGTAAAGCTCACCCGTCAATATGGATGCTGCTGCTGGGAGCTTCAGTTTGATTGTGGATGTGGGAGTGATGACTGCTGCTCCTACGCTTTGCTTTGTTTTTGAAGCATCAGTGTATAATTGTTTTGACCCTGGATAGTCGCTTATGATATTACAGAAATTCTGGTATATAACTTCATTGGGTGTTTCGGTTTTGTTGAACTTGATGAGTGTTGTATTGGTAACTGGTTGACAAATAATCCAAGGCGGGATGGTGTCGGTGGCAGTAGTAAGTGTTGACGGTACGTTCTGGATGTCGAGACTTCTTAAGTAGACTCTGATTCTGTTGTGAAAAGGAGTGCCTGTTATGCTATTCCTATAGGACCTTGTAGTGGCTAAATATTTATGGGCTGATGTATTGATATTTGCGATTTTCTTATTAAAATATGTGAGGCTCATTATCTGACGTCTTATGTGTAATGGTGCTTCTCCCGATTCACAGTACAGACTGTCTACCGGTGTGGTTCTGTATGCTCCTAATATTAATCGCAGCGCAGTGTTGTGAAGCACGTTTAAAGGTTTGAGAACTGAAGGTCTTGCTGAGTTGTACGCGATGCAGCCATAGTCAATCTTGGATCTTACAAGTGCTCTATATATAGTAAGCAGTGTCTTACTTTCAGCCCCCCAGTGTCTATTTGATAGGTACTTTAGCATGTTGATCCCTGCTTGACAAGACTGAATGACATCTGTTATATGTTTCTTCCAATTAAGTCGATTATCAAATGTGATTCCCAAGAATTTGATGTCGCTGGTGTATTTTAGAATCTTATTGCACAACTTTAAAGTGGGCTTGTCACGCACAGGCTTCTTCGAGAAAATGATGCAAGTTGTTTTCTCTGTTGAAAAGGTAAATCCTGTCTGCTTAGACCAGTATTCCAGCTTATTCAGGTAATGTTGTAATAACGATGCATTTGTTGTCAAGTTCTTTCCCCTCACAAATACGATCATATCGTCCGCGTATAGACGGGCCTGAAGAGGTAGTTCGATATCTCTTAGAACGTCGTTAAGTGCTATAAGAAATAGAGTTGGACTAATAATAGAGCCTTGAGGTATTCCGTTGATCTGTTGTTTTTGTTCCGACAGTACACCATTTGTTCGTACTTGGAAACATCTGTTGTCGAGGAAGTTGGAAATGAAGGATAGAATGTTTCCATTGTATCCCCATTTGTGGAGTTTAGAAATGATGTTGTATTTCCAGGCTGTATCAAACGCTTTGTTGATATCAAAGTAAATTGCCATACAATGTTGATTGTCCGAGAATGCTTCATGGATGTGGGTTTCTAAGTCTATTATATTATCTATAGTAGATCTATTTGATCTGAAACCAGCTTGTTGGTAGGCTAATAGGTTTTTATGTTCGAGACTCCACATAAGACTGCGGTTAATTATTTTCTCAAGAAGCTTGCACATACAGCAGGTTAGTGATATAGGCCTGTACGATTCTGGTAGCTGGGGTGATTTATTAGACTTCAGGATAGGAACTGTTATTGCTTGTCCCCATATTTTGGGGAAAACGTTCGTTGTCCAGATGGTGTTGAATATGTGTAATAAGCGGTTATGAGCAGACGGGGGAAGTTTCTTTAGGAAAATAGGCGGAATGTCATCTGGTCCTGCAGCAGTATCTTTCAGGTCGTTGAGTGCATCCAAGAACTCTAATTCTGTGATGGGTAGGTTGATTGGATCGCTGTTGTCTTCTATGGGGATTATCACTGATTCTGCATTTAGTTTGTAGTTCGTAAAGTCTGAACAGTAGTTTCCATTGCTGTAGTTGGAGTAATATTTCTTGGATAATATTTCTGATATTTGATGACTTTCAGTGACAGTGTTTTCACCGTCTTTTAGACATCTTATTGGTGAGTAAGTCTTAGTTCCAGAAATGCTTTTCACCTTTTTCCATACTTTGGGCATTGGTGTGTTACAACTAATGCTACTGACGTAATTCTGCCACGATTGTTTTTGGTTTTTTCTAGTTATTAGTCTTAATTTGGCCTGTTTGTTCCGAAGGTTCCTTAATGTATTGAGATTTTTTTGTCTTTTGTGCTTATTGACCGCTTGTTTACTCTCTTTGAGTGCAGATTCGCATTCGTTGTTCCACCAAGGCACAGGATTTCTATTTTTTACGTGGGTGGTTTTACCTAGGATATGTTGTGCGGCATCAGTTATAGTCTTGTTGAGCTGTTCCACTATAGAGTCTATGCTGACATCAGATTTTATATTGCGGTCAAGGTTACTATCTATATAGCGTGAGAATGAATGCCAATTAGCTTGCTTTAATCTCCACTTTTGAGGAGGCGTTGATTCAGTGTTTTTGTTGTTTTTATTGTTTGATATAAGTATTGGGAAATGATCGCTTCCATATAAGTCATCTTCTGTACTCCAATTTAGGTGAGTTAGCAGGCCGGGGGTGCATAGGCTCAAATCGATTGCGGAGAGTCTTCCTGATGCGGCGTCGAATCTAGTACAGTTACCGTCGTTCAGCAAGGCTAGGTGGCTTGAGTCCAGGATGCCTCTTACTATGTTTCCTCGTTGGTCATGTTTGAAGGACCCCCACGTATAATCATGTGCGTTAAAGTCTCCAACAATTATGCGAGGAGCGGGAACTTGTTGTATCAAGTCTTCCAGTTCTTTCTTATCCAAAAAGTAGTTAGGTGGGATATATACATTGCAGATATTGACCTTCTCTCCATCTTCTATGGTAACTGCTACAGCTTCTAAATTAGTAACGAGATTGATTTGACTAGATTGCATATACGACTTGGTATATATAGCCACTCCCCCACTTGCTGTTCCCGTATTCCTATTTTTGAAATAACCTATATACTGCTTAGGCGTGTGTGTTTTACTGTCACTAAAGTGAGTTTCCTGTAGGCAAATGATATCTGGTTTGTGATCAGTTAATAACTTTCGAAGCATGGTCAAATGGATACGATATCCATTTAAATTCCATTGTAGAATTGACGTGAATTTTATTGTTATTAAAACGTCGAATCTATGGATGACGTGTCGCTTAGTGATCCTACCGTTTGATCGATGTGGTGTTCCAATTTTTTCCTTAATCTTGTGCATCTGTTCTTTATTGTGCGGTTTGTCAAATGGGGGTAAATTAGGAGAAGCATTTCTATAAGAGCTCTGAAATCTGAGGTATAGTTGTTTACTACAGTAATGGCATCCTTAGCTCCATGTACATTTTCCAACAGACTGGTGAGCTGATCGATGTTCAGTACCGTCTGCTGAGTCTCTATCAAATTTTTGATAGGTTCAAGGCTGCTTTTTATGGGTATTGTTAATTCCTGATCAGGTTTGTGTTTCTTGATGTTATCTGCAGTCGGTTTGGTGAATGTTACTTGATAGCTTTGAGGTGCACCTGTGTCTTCCGTTGGTGTTAGTATTTCTGAGAAGCTCCTTTTGGAGGATACGCTTGGAGTTATTAATTCGTCATTATTCGGTGTTCCTTCGCCGTGCAGGCTAATGATGTTTGTGTTAGTGTTTTGAGGATGTTGGTGGCTGTTTTTGTTCGTAATTGCTTTGGTATTTTCTTTGGGCAGATGTATGTGGGCTGTGGTGGAATCTTCTGTAGTTATATCTGATACTACTTGATTTTCGGATGGGTTTGACAGTTCATCGTTGAGGGTCTCTGATTCTGTGGAAGTCTGCGAAATCTGGATCGATGGACACTGTGAAGCAATATGTCCAATAAGTTTACATTTGTAGCACTTTTGACTGTCTAAAGTAAGAAATATACGATAGGTCAGATCGTTGTGCGTTATCTCTATGGATTCTGGGATATCCGTATTCTCTGAAGGTGCTATGTAAACTTGCCTCCTAAAACTCAAAATGTGACTGTACTCCGCTAGAGTGGCTCCAATTCTGAGGAATGAAATTGGAGATAAAAGCTTTAAATGCAATTTTTGCAGCGCGTCGTTTAGAACTGCATGCGGGATGGTCGGACAAACGTTCGATATTACCAGTCTATCAGAGGGGGTAACTAGGCGACGAACTTTTATTATTTCTCCATTTACGGTTAATTCTCCATGCTGTTGTATGAACTGGTCAACCAAACTTTTACTTGAGAGGTAAACACATATTCTGTTGTTCGAGATCCTTGAGCAAAATATAATGTTTTTGGGCTCTACCAGTGGACCTAATTTCAGAAGATAGTCTTGTAGTTTAGCTCCCTCTATAGTGCTGAAAACTATTGCTTGTTCTTTGTTAGGATGTTTTTCGCTGTGTTGGGAGACAACTTTTGAGTATGACTTGGGCGTAGGGTTTTGTGATGTGGTAGGGTTACTTGTCATAGTTTGAGTAATCATATTAAATGTTTCTAGTTAGCTCTGGGTGAAGACGATATGACATTCTTCTAGATACGGTCCTGTCCGCAAATGGAAAGGTATGCGGCCAGGAGTTTGATTAATTTACCAGTATGTTTATAATGTTATTGGGTTTTAACGCAGAACTATTATCAGAAAGTGGCCCAAAGGGTACTCACGGTGCCAATCAGTTGTTACGTTCTTCTTGGCGCACTGACTGTATTTTTATAACCAGTAGAACACTACTAAAACCTTGATTTTTATAAGAGCGATTAATTTGTTGTCAGACGCTGCAAATACAGGATCGGACCCCAATAATCCATCGTTGTTTTATTGCAATTTAAAGTTCCATACCTCTAAAAAAATACCCTTTATATATGTATTCCAAGACTCTAAGGTGCTTATCAGGAGCTTCAAAATGAGGTATCACATGACCACTCTTTCTATTTAAAAATATATTCCAAGATGGTGCACAGCGACAAAGATTTTTTATACTTGACATAGTAGCAACTTTGTGTGAAAATTTCATCGAACTCCGTATGGTAGGTACTTCCCAAGTTATAGGCGGTCCAACGATTAGCGGGCAGACCGACCGACAGACATACAGACCAATAGACATACTACAGATCGACTGAGATGCGTGACAGGGTTTTTCGTGACCTAGATGTCACGTACCATCCAAAAAAAATTCGTGATTTTACTATGTCTACTCCAGTGGCGTGGGAAGTAAAACGTATTTGTCCAACCAGATAATGCTTGCAATCACAGTGCTTTTATTGATAAAGTATAAAACCTTGCAAACGAATCATAAAAGATTCTAACGAAGCGGTCCGTTGCATTCCATCCACTAATCCTGCAAGCCTGTCGACTGTGATTGCCCCAGAAGGGTTTCACAACAGGGATAAAACTTCCTTTATCCGCGCTAGATTGCGGAAAGTCAGAATAGAATAAAGTAGTGTAGGCGTTCCGTTGAATGTGTGTGCTGTAGTTGGACGGCAAAGCTCTGAGAGAGGCTGGCGATACACGGTTTAGATGAAAGAGTGGGATTTATTCAGATTAAATGAGTAGCTTCTATCTAGGTTTAGATAGCGACAAGGAAATGTATTCAAATAAGCGTGAATCATTATTTTGAAAATTTCATACGGAATCATAACGTATTATCCTTGCTTAGATTAAATGTTCTCCTGCATACTTCAAAGAAATTCAAAATTGTTGTTGCCGGTTAACAGATAATCTAAGGAAATATGATCGTGTACCTGGCCCAATCAAAGATTTAGGATGGCAATTACAACTAAACCATTAGGTTTAGGGCTGTGATTTTTCATCTGAGATAAGTTAAATGGTTAGTTTTAGCAATGGTTATGTCACTTTTTAACAGAGCTAATTAGAAATCAACGCAAAAAATCTTAATTTCATTTTTTTGTGAAAAATCTCTTCCATCCCTCAACTTTGGAGGGCGGTAAAAAATTAGGTTGTATTGTAATGGATTGGTTTCTCTTAAACTGCAGTCTAAAGAATTATATGATTTGATCGCATTGTAAATATATGTATTCTAAAATAGAGCTGTGCTGTGGCGAGGAATTGAAAAAGTCTCTCTGTATCTAATATTAACGCCATGCATATTCCCTCTACGTATGAATTTGTTTACTAAATATGATGGTGTTTTTGAATAAAGAAACTTATGAGTCAGATTTAAGCGCTGGTACTTATACATTTTATCAATTTTCATCCATTTGAGTTCATTAATGGCATTTGATATCTGATCATACTTTCTGAGATCATTTACAAGTCTGCAACATATATTCATAATACTTTGAATATAATTTCTTGTTATAATATCTAAATAGGGATAGTAAACCACTAAGCAATACGATATGTTTGAAAACAAGAAAGATTCACACAATTACTTTCTCGCAGATTTATGTACTATAGCCTTATTTGCAAATAAAACTATGAGCATGGCAATGAGAAATTAGATAGTTTACGTGTACATCAAGTCATCATCCATTATAATACCTAGGTTCTTCGAATGATCCACAGGAACTAATTTATTACCTTTTAAATGTATGTCTATGTCCTTTTTTAAGTTATTCTTTTTTGTTCTATTTGCGTATACCAACATATTTGTCCTCAAAGGGTTCAAACGAAGATTATGACTACTACTGAACTTTTCAATTTGAGCAAGAGCTTGATTAATTTTATCATTTGCTGTTTCCAAGTCATTATTCCTAAATGAATAGAAAATTTGAGTGTCGTCTGCAAAAAATTGTATGCTGCATGATTTTACCTCTTTTCTAAATCTGAGATATATAATGAGAGCACTGTTGATTTAGATGAACTTTTTGATACCGAGCTTCAAGGTAGGTTTGCATAAACGAAAGAGGTTTTTCAGAAAATCCATAATAACTGCATTTAGACACAAGAAGTGAGTGATTAATGATGTCACATGCTTTAGTAAAGTCAAGAAGTATGAGAGCTACTGCTTTTTGGTTATCAAGTGCCATTGTTATATTGTCTGTTAAATCACAGATTGCCGAAGCTGTATTATGATCATGTCGAAATCTAGATTGTTAGATAATAATAATAATAATAATAATAAGTAATAATAATAATAATGAAATAATTTTGATAGAATATAGGTAGGCGCAGAACTGCTCGTAAACAAGGCGTTCCAATACTTTAGAAAAAATTGGCAGTAGACTGATCGGTCTCAGTTGACCATATTTAGTAGGATCAGAACACTTAGGTAGCGGAACAACTATAGCGCGTTTCCACTGATTGGGGAAATATCCCATCTCTAAACAGAGGTTGATATTATGTGTTAAGTACACATCAATTTCAGGTATACATAGTATTGATTTTATTTTATGTTTAATTTTAACAACGGTGTTAATAGTCACTTTATTAAAGAGAAATTTGGATTTCAAGTTATTTTTATTAGCTCCGTAAGATGCAATTTTATCAGCACAACCCAAATCACTATTCTCGAAAATTGAAATAAATGCCTCATTTATTTTATACGGATCTGATAAGCTCACGGGAACTGTAGAATCTTGCACTTTGAAAATCTTTAGGGTTTTACAAAACTTTTTTATCTGCTGATTTTGAACAGCTTGTAAATAATCTCTTTTTCCTCTCCACACGAGCGTTAAAGCACGATTTCTGAAATATGTATACCGTTGCCAAGAGGGGGCTGTTCGATCACGTTTGAACTTTGTCAAAGCTTCAGCTCTCTGCTTGAATACAAGTTTAATATTATCATCCATGCAAGGAGCTGGAGCTTTGTCTACACGCACTATCTTTTTTGGACAGTGAACATTAAATAAACATAAAACTCTGTTAAAAAGTTATTTTTGTCTTCAATGTCATCTATCGATATAATATGCCACCATGGAAAACCCTTGAGACCTTGTTCAAACGCTATTTCATTTAAATTATGGAAATCCTTGAATGTCATAAATTTCTGTTGATTTTTAGGAAGCGCAATACGTATATCACAGAAGGTTAAATAGTGATCAGTAATCATATCAGCATTAATAGTGTCACTCCTAAGATAGCTTTCAGGCTTGCTCAAATGAATAGGATAAAGAGTGAGCGTCGATTCAGATATCCTAGTCGGTTCAGATATCACCTGTTTCAGATTATAAAAATCAAGGCATTTAGTCAAGTTGTTACAAACTAAAAGCAAATTAACATTAACATCCCCTGCAAGGATGATATCATCATCTTCAGCTAATATGACAGTCAACATGTCATCAAAGGTATTACCGGCTTATGTAACAGAGCTATGTGGGGGCCGCTAGAATATAACATTTTTTTGTTTTGGAAGCTGCACCTTCAACCATATATACTCAAGACTTGGGCTTGTAGTGGTTGTTTACAATGACTGCAACCCCACCACCTCGCCCATCTCTATCACAGCGATAGCAGTTGTATCTATTCATTCTTATATGGCTATTAGATATATCTTTTGATAGCCACGTTTCCGATATTCCAACAACTGATCTGCAGTTTATATGACCAAATTTTAAAACCTTGAATTTATCACTATTCATATTCGATTCTAGATTTCAAGAATGTAACATGTTTTTTATTGACAAGATTGGACAACAATGACTAGTATCAAATTGAGTGTTGAATTTAGAATTCTGATTCATATAGTTTGAACAATTCTTAAAAGCCGATTTACAATTTTCTTGTAAATGTTCTCCAGGAAAAAAAGACATGATACGAGCACCGTAGAATGTTTGTAATTTTTTTCCATGTGGCCAAAACCTGAACATTTATAGCAGCGTATCATTCGTACATAATCCCGCACAGGACATCTTTGCCAACCCATGTATATATGACCTCTATCTAGCAGCGTTTTTCTAAATTTTGGACATTGTCATTTTGTACTTAAAAGTAACATATAGAGGGTGACATAAGAAATCGCAATTTCACAATACAGTTGCAGTTACGTCTTAAAGATACCGGATCATTGCACAACATTCTATTTATCAAGCACACAAGATAAACATCTAAAGATATCCAAAATTTATATCTTTCCCCTGTACGAGATCCCCGAAACTTTACGAGCTGCGCCGAAGTCGTATGATCGATATTTACAGTGAGCGCGAGACGTGGAGAGATTGACCCCCAAATCTAAATTTAGATAGCAGTTTTGATATCTTGCTGGTTCTCTTGTTGTTGCTCTACACGGTCAAGGTAACTGCAATAAGTAATCAGCAATTTCAACCTTGACAGATTGAAAAACCTAGAAGTTCGGAGAATCCACAGCGTGTTATGGTTTAAACTGACAAAACTATGGTGTCATCTTGAGGTTCAAAGACGTAACTTGACGTTGGACAAGTACATTTCTATATCATATACAGTGCTTTTCAAAATGATCGCTTCCCGTACTTATTTTTTGAACAGGTCAAGTCATCAAATTGATATACTTCGAAGTTGAGTCATTTATTTTAACAGTGAGTAGATCTGATCAAAAGAAATGTTTTTTCCTTTACCATTTTTCTGGTAAAATTAAAGTAACAAAGTTATAGCCCTTTGGAAGTTTGAGTACCGCCCTGTCTCAATAATAATATTATGTGCTCGTGTTTGATTCATCGCATCGGAAACAAAAAAGCGAAAGAATTTGGAACGATGTTTTTACAATTATTTTAGTCAGTTGTATACCATCAGTGTCAGTCGGTAACGCGTTTGAATAGTGGTGACTGTTGCGTGGCTCAAACGAAATAAAATGGTGACTTAAGACCACACAGGGGACTGCATGCCGGTGCTCCAAGACCTCACGATCAAATACAGGTCCGCACTGAAATACTTGTCGGGAGGATACTTTATAAAACAAGGTAAAAGTTTTATTTTTTATTTTTACACAAATATTTTGGTTTATCTTCCTTCTACAATCATTATCTGAAAATTAATGACTCAACTTCAAAGTCACCCTGTATAGATCTATCAGAATCTAAATTTATGATGCTCAAAAATGGCTGTCAAAACTGAGATTGGTACATCAATCTTTGACTAAATGCTTTAAAATATGGGACATTCCGTTTAAAAAATGACACGTTACTTTAAGACGAATAGATACTTCCAACAGAAGAAGCGCTTTGACTGACCAACTAATGTGCTAAGATGCTTCAACTCTAAACGCACACCAGCCCGTTATCTTTAAATTATAGTAAATATGTATTCTATGATATAAGGTGATTATATAAATGAGGTATCACATGTCCTCCCAATTCTATTTGAAAATATATTTCAAGATGGCGCACAGACGTCATCTTGAAATTTTTAACAGCTACGCTCAATTATCTTATCCATGCATCTATTTTTTATTACCCAAAATTTCAGTTTACTAACCTGACATGTTCAAAAAATAAGTATAAAAACATTTGTTCATTTTTTTAATGCAGAAATCATATGTAAGTATATTTGTTGCCAGTGCTAGAATACAGGATACTTGGTGGTGCAATTACTCTTTTAACTTTTGCAAAATAGCCAGAACGTCTGCACTTTACAACCATTTCTTTGTTATAGTGTTAATGATGACTTCTACGATGTGATCACGGAAAACTTCTATCCCAGAAGTAAGAGACCTAAAAAATACGGGTAGCTCAGAATAATAAGACCGACAGCACGATAATTCATTATCGTTTATACAGCATTTTTCAAAAAGGCCTAACTATCTATTTTTTGTACCAGTCAAGTTGGCAAGCTGATATTTGTAATAATGATAAATTCAACATTTTAGCATAGAAGCGACAGTTGGAAATGTAAAGATGGCTGAGCACAATCTTGGAATGATATCTAAATTGAATGAGGGCTATGCAATAACTTAGTTTGAACCTTGTTATAAGTTATACAAAATCCTAGAATATGAAATCACTATATTTCAAAATGATAGAGTGGCAAGCTGTTCCAATTTAGTCGTTTGATACATTGAATAAATTAATCACCAAAACGCTATATATAGTATGTCAAATCAATCTTCTTTCCTTGGAATATTTCCTGATATGTCATGAAATACGAAGTATTCAATTTGAGAATTTTTAAAAATCTGTAAATTTATTCTAAGTTGAATGCTGAATGCCCCATAATTTATTGCAGGTTCAACGGATTTGTTAACAAGCACAATTGTCGCGTCTGGGCATTAGAGAAGCCTTGTGTGATCCAGCAACGACCACTACATCCTCGTCGAGTCACAGTTTGATGCGGTGTTTGGTATGGAGGTGTCATTGGACCTTACTTCTTTGAAGTCGCTGCAGGTAATTCTCTTATTGTCACTGGCGAGCGCTACCGTGATATGGTGCAAAATTTTCTCTGTCCAGAAATCCAACGCTTTAAACCTGCAGAACATGTGGTTCCAGCAGGTCGGAGCAACTTGTCACACAGCTAGGGAAACAATGAATCTTTTGCGAACAATATTTTCGGGACGTTTAATTTCTCGATTTTATTTCATTCCACAAATATTCAAGATACCACCCAATCAGATACATATTTGCCACCATGTGTATGTAATTGACTGATGAAAATGTTTATTGGATGAAAATGAAACAGAATATGTTATACTTCTTAATCAGATCATAAGTAGCTTATGCCTAATATGGTCTTTCTAAAGGTGTTTGTCCTTGTGGTATATAGCAGTTACTTCCAGAACAATGGTGTTCTGGACGTTTGAAATACGAAACGTACATGATACTTGCAACTGCCGCAAAAGCGCATACAAATGCAGACAGACCGCAACAAAACGTACAACAAGAGGTCTTGACGCAAAATGGTGGGTCATCTGGTGAGAATGTATAATCATTCTGACCATTATCGGTAGAAAAATTAGCTGTGGTGGTAGGTGAGTTAGATTTCGAAGTTTCCTATTCCTTTCCTGAAGATGTGCTGATGAATTTCGTTGGCTTAAAGGTGGTAGTAGGAGACACGTTGGGTGTTGATTCATCTTCATTTTGTGAAGTTGTGCTGAAAATTTCCGTTGATATTGAGGTTTCCTCTTCCTTTCTGGCAGATATGCTGATGAGCTCCGTTAGCTTAAAGGTGGTGGTAGGAGATTCTTCAGGTGTTGATGATTCATCTTCATTTTTTGAAGTTGTTATGAAAATTCCCGTTGGCCACCAGGTAGGATCAATGTCATTTTCTGGAAGATCCAAGGTGCAATTGGACACTTTTTGAGTTGATTGGAATTTTTCACATAGGTCGCCAGTATCAGTTAGGACACATTGCGCGATTCTTGTGCCTCCTCCTTATGAAATCAAGATATAAGAAGATATACTGTATGCTTGGAGTATAGAGCGTCAGTAAATCCCAAGAGCCGCTGACATTCAACCTTCGCGTCATTGTTGTCAGTAGCGGGGAGGGGACTGTGTCATCGGAACGAACCTGATAAGCGGATTTTTCTCGTCTCACATTTACGTACGAGGTTATTCAAAGTACACGTCGGTAAAATGTTTCTTATTTAAGGATAAGAGTGCACATTGTCTTTTTACATCTGGGATAAGGGATATGATAATGGTAAACGCCCTTTTATTAAAAACAAGTTATAGATAATACACATATTACCTATATATATATATATACCTATATATATATATACCTATATATATACCAATATATATATATATATATATATATAGGTGAAAGATAAAGCTTCCGCCTTTTGTTGGGTACTTCGAAAAATTCAAGCAAAGATGACTCTTTATACTTTATTAATCTCTAGCTTCCAATGGACTTTTCCATCTTCATCAGGAGCTGCAATAACATTGAGAAGAAATAGCAACTATTGTGCTAAATGATTTTAAATTAACTTACAGTCGTATGTGAGGTTGTTGCTAAATGTTATCAACGTTTTGGTTGAGAGATACACCCAGTAACATTCAGCAACAACCTCTTTGTCCCAAATTGTTATTATTATAAAAATTAAATGTTGCTTCGTCTGATAGACAGAATGATATACTGATGCAATCCTCTCTGACTAGCCTGTTAACTTGGGAAAATAGGTTGCCCTTAAGGATACGTATACACTAGAACGTGTAGGAGCTTTAGACAGCAAGAATTAGGAAATGGCAATGGTACAAACCTGCACATTTAAATGATATACACATGTAATGTGAATGTTCACTTTTATGGCTCAGGCTGGCCAAATCATCTGGAATTTTGAGTTTATCATTTTCCGTGCAAAGCCCGTCAAGCTGCAAAACGCAGTCCATCGCTTCGCATGTGGGGCATCAGATCTCTTCAAGTTCAAAAGTTTCAAACGCTGAAAAATAATAAGGCAATGTATTATCATTTGTAACAGCATCTATTATAAATAGGAATATAATTTGCGTCTGTTCGACATTATCCGTGAGAGTGATCCGCAGGACCTTTGCTGTTGGTTAATGTCTTGTAGTACGTATGAGAGATATTGTTGTCCAGACAAGGTTGAGAAGCCAGAGGACAAAAGAAAGGTAGGGAGTGGAAGAGTAAATAGAGGGAGCTACGTTAGTTAAAATGGTCGGTTAGAAGTTGTTAACCATAACTCGGAAATTTTGGTTTTACTTAGAAAATCAATTTTGGGGAAAAATTTGAATTTTGTTGGACCTAAAGTACAAATTTAAAATAATTCTATCATTTGAGGCCATACGCATGTCATATACATTTTAGCAGGGGTTGAGTCCAAATCGGAGATCAGGAGCAGCTGGAAAAAGATACAATTTCTGTGGCACTTATACGATTTTTAGTACAATATGGTTTTTTGAGTAGCTGATTCCAACTGCTCGGTTAGTTTGTCTCTACGAGAGAATTAGAAGATCACTTCAAGGTCATATCAAGGACATTCTCAAAAAAGTCGAGCAGTAGATCCCAACCACATGTTATTTAGGTTTTTCTGTTCACCAAATCTGAATCAGAGGTCAATCTATAAGGTCATCTGAAGGTCATTTCAAGGTCACCGAATCAAAATTAGAGGTCAGTCTGTGAAAGTTATTTCAAGATCACTTCAAAGACAAATTTAAAATAAGTCCAGCATTTGAGTTCCTACGCATGACATATACAGATTAGCAGTGGTTGTGCCCAAACCAGACAACAGTATGTCTCTAGCAAGGCATAAGGCATATGTAAGCTTCATCAATATCATTTATTCCGACTGGGACACTGGGAGGAATTTTATCAAAAAACATTCTGAATAATACTAATAAAAAGAATTGTAGCTTAGAATAGTAATTCATTCAGTTGATGAAAACAAAAGTATTGACAGATTTCTGTTACATTAAGGGCAAGTTCGTACTCTCTCTATTATGATCCAGATCCAGATGATCAAATATTTTCGACACACATCACAGCTGGTGATGACAGAAGCTCTCCAATTTTGCAGTTAAAAAGTAGTTACAACGTTTTGATTCTATCGCCAACTTATTGTTTAAGGTATTAACTTTAAAATAAGTAATAATTTTCATTCACTTTCGATGCTTTGTTTTTTCCAATTTTTCAGGATTTTTCGCTTAGATAGACCGCTGTGCGGAGGTTTACCTACATTTTATTTTCGATCTTTATCTATAGGAACAAATATAATTACTTCCACCATAAATAGATAATTGTTGAAGTACTGACAAAGATCTGAAATTATCTCATCATAATGCATAATACATTTTTGATATATTAACCAATCCGACAATCCAAAAATGTAACTAGTCACTTATGTATCTACGGCGTAAAGTGGGCATTTATCGCCCGCAGCGTGAAATTTAGAGCACACGGCGCTTCGAACCTTGGGCCTCTATCACACTAAGAAACTTGAACGCTTAAGGCGGCTCCGACGCTGTGAGTTTCAAGACATTTACAAGGGTTCAGCTGCTTCAAAACTGACACTCCATTTTTCAATATTTTTCAATGAAATTCATACAGTATGTTGAGAAGATAATTGCCCAGGGCGCTATAGGAGCACTTTTTGAAGTTTTGTTTTTGCACAAGTCTTATGATGGGTTGAAGTGCGCACTTTTTCTGTCCAACTTCGCGATTTTTTTAAAAAGATCCTAGTGGATAAAATCGAAAAAGTGGATCATTAGCACCCTGTGGACTTTGTTTTTAGCACGCTGCAGGAGTTTCATTTGGAAATAATAAAAAATGAAACGTAAGCTGTGAAGTGAATCGGTTTTTTGGCGAAATTCGTCTACTGTTTCGTCCTGCCAGTCCAAGCGACGCGACGGTGTGTTCCGACTAAGAAAAACTGTATTCAAATAAGTTGATATACTTCCTAAAATAAATTCAAGAACTCAGATTAGAATTCGTTATTCATGTCATTAAACACAATTATGTTTACAAGGGTCATGTGGTACATGGTAACAATTGAATGAGGGTCATAAAAATATCTTATGCGGTCAAAATAAGAGGAAACAGTTAGGTTGTTTTTGCAAAGCAATAAACAGGTAGGCTTATACCTGGATTAAGTACATTTATTGTCTACTGTAATAGGTAGATGGAGGCGATGCTGCCATAAATGGATGTATGCGATCAATAAACAAACCACAAGACTGAACTGCGGTGTCCAATGATTTTTGTATTGCCTTTTTTATTGCTTTACTAGAAAACTCTGTTGGGTATATGATGGAGTTTACTAGAACTTTACAGCTTGTTGTCTGCCTTCTTCTACAAACTTCACCAAATCGAGACGCTGTCAACCTTATTCTCCGATGAAGGTGCGACAAAGTACAGTGTGATTTGGTGACTTGTTCGATCTGCAAAATCTCGTCGTCACTTTTTTTAAGTTTCCCCAAAAATTTTCGCTTAGAAACCTCCAAATCAATGTAGTTAATAATGTCAGGTTTTTGATTGAATTCGCCTTAAAACTATTCATTTTCTTTGGAATTGCTATACGAATTGTTAGTTATTTTTATATCAGCTTTTCTTGGTCTGAGCTTTCAAGATTCTTGCGTTTGAGTCTTTGTTCCATCTTAGCGATAAGCGAGGTTGTACTAAGCTTAGAACGCAAATGTGTCTAGACCACATATACAGGCCGCTGGGTATTGTGGCTCACTACAGCTGCAGCACATCTTCCATGGTACGACCTCTTCTTTCAATAATTTATTCGCTTACCCCAATGTATTTTGCGATCATAGAGTTGACCTGCTCCACACTATTGTTGACCTCGTCATGAATTAAACTAACTTCATTCGTAATTAAAATGGTCGCATATGACCCTTTATTGTCCATTATCAGCCTTGATAAAAAAGGCACTCAAGAACAATCACACCAACAACAATTCAACAACACAATATCGACGAACAGTAACAAGGGGGGAAAAATACTGAATGATCACTTGCTGAGTACCAAAATAAGAAACGATTTACATTATAGATCGCTAGTTGAAATCCGACTCTGTTATTATAAAAATTTACCTTGGTATGCACCCGCAGTCACCCTTTCCTCTTTTAAAGTAGTGCCCATAACCGTCAACGGCCAACCTACTCTCGTTTCGTTTTCACCCCCCCCCCCCCGTTACCTCAGCAGATGGTGCTCGTGATTGTAGGAGCCCCGTTAATACATCACAATCAAGACGCATAAATTTATCTAGGGTAGATAAATAATTTAAAGTAGTCATAGATATAAACAATTTTACCGTACAGATTGCAACACCGGGAGCTGAGTATTGAAGCCGCTGCCCAGGAAGAAATAAGCACTGACAGCTCTTGTGGACGATAGATTAATTTGAATTTACTTTACTGCTCTTTGTCTTAAAGAAGTCCGGGGGTGACACTCAACGCCCGGAAAAGGTATTAATGAAAACGAGTGTCGTAAATAAAGAAAATGTTCACGAATATGATGATGCAGCTGCTGCTCTTTCAAGAAACTTTTGAAAATATAGTTTCTAAAGGAAAAACTGCACGTAATACATATAGACGTATCCTGAATAAACACTACCAACTAAATTAAAACCAAAATCATACGCATCTCGTAGGACTGGCACTTGAAAAATGAATTTTCAAATAAAATAGATGCGACTTTTTGTAATTGTAAACTTGAAATATTCTACCTGCAAAAGCAGGAACCAGATATAAGCTATGCTGCTATCATAAGTGATATACTGGACAAAATAGAAATAGATATTTTGTATAAGCAAATCTTCATTGAACTTTTTATATCGATCAAACGCAAAGTCCTTGGATATTCTCTCGTAGAGATACATTATCTGTGATGATATGCGTCTTTAAGACCTCATATCAGAGCCTTATCATTTCTTAGAAATAAGGGTTGTACAGATTGTAAAACTTGAAGTGGGCGTCCCGTTAAAACTGGCGCCAATTAAAATGATCTCGAGGCTGAGCCACAGCATATCTAATATCAGTGATTAACGTACTGATATACTTTCGATGATGTCAGCAGTCGTATTTTATATTATATAGGTTTGTTGTGACATTATGTAGGTTAGAGTTTAAACCACTTGTCAATATTTTGCAGTAAAACTCCACAATCTCTCTCAAATGTAGCTTCACACTTATTCGATATCACTGCTGAAGTATCATCTGCATATAAAATGAATCTACTTTCAGAGGAACAGGTCATTTAAATATAGACTAAATTGGACAGGCCCTAGAATAGAGCCTTGAGAGACGCTTATGGAGACATGGTGAGTCATGTCGGACTTAATAGGCGCATTCAGACCACTATCGACGACATTCACAAATTGAGACCTATGCTCTAAAAAAGACCTTGTCCAATGATATGGCGGACCATTTATGCCATACTTCGACACTTTCTGCAAATGAGCTTTGGTTGGGCTCAATCAAGACCGATGCAGCAGGTCGTTCAGTAGAAGCTGACCCAGCTAGTGATGAGCCCTACCTTTTTCCACCGCCTTTCGTCAGATGCCAGTAGCCTGCTGGATCTTTTTCTGACCACGCATCCTGCCCATTACAGCACTGCTGTCCTGTCTCCCCTGGGTAACTCAGACCCCGGAGTTGTGGAGATTAGGCTTCGGTCAGAACCCGCAGCAGAAACTCGCCGAGGTCGCAAAATCTGACATTTCGGACATGCCGACTGGGGGACTTCTTCTCCACCTTTCCTTGGAGAGGTGTTTGTTTGGCTGACGCGGATGAGTCTGCTGAATGTTCATCGATAACCGAAATTATCCACGTTGGAATGGAGGAATACATCCCTCATACAGTGAAAGTGCCTAAGCCAGGATCCAACGGCTGGTTCAACAAATCGTGCGAAATTGCTCGCCAGCAGAAGATCAAGGCACACAGAACGTTCTTACAAAGCCCCACTGAAGGGAAAAGACAAGCCGACGTTGAGTCTAGAAACAAATATAACGAAGTGGTTCGCAATGCCAAAGTCCAGCACGATATGAAAGTTAGACACAGGGTAATGTCGCAACGATATGACAGTCGGTTTTCTAGACGCTGGCCAAGCAGATTGAGAGGAACTTCTCACAAAGTAACCTTCCACCACTTACGTGTCAAGATGGAACGATTGTAACTGACTCAAATGCTAGTGCGAAAGTGCTTGTCAAAGACTTTGCTGCCACCTCTACCATGCCCAAATGCTGTCGACTCAAAGGGTTCCTTATACATACTATGCTGGAAGTGAAACTCAGGCATAAGACAGTGTTGTCATCAACAATGCATTGTATTGAAGAGTTGTGCAGCGGAGCTTGCTCCAGTTCTTTCGCATCTCTACCAGATGACTAACCAATCTAGCACCTTCCAGAAAAGTGAAAAAAAAGGATCTAAAACCGACCCTTACAGCTACAGCCCAGAGCTCTGCTTTCTGTTATAAGTAAGGTGATGGAGAGGTGCATAAATCGAGAGCTTTTGAACCAGCTTGAACGTCACAGCATTAGCAACAGCCAGTATTGTTTTCGGCACCACCGATCCACAGGGGACCTCCTGGATTACCTCACGTAATTATTGTGAGACTCATGTCGTTGCTCTTGATATTACGAAAGGGTTCGATCAGCTCTGTCACGCTGTCCTCTTATGCAAACTTCCATCCTATGGCCTAACAGAGAATCTTTGCTGATGGGCGGCTGACTTTCTCTCTGACCACAAGATATCCGTCGTAAGTGACGGGTTCTTCTCTTTATCTCACAACGTCAACCCTTTCAAAATGCAGAGTATCGCATCCATTCCTTAGATTGTTCGAATCAATTAATTGCACAAAAGCACATAATTCGTAATTTATTGAAACATTAGCAAATTCCACTATTTCTAAGTTGTTTGAGATACCTAGTCAAAAACTTGATAAAACGCTATCCTAACATGTATGTAAATGTGCGGATATCTATCCCTAGAGTAGAACACTCTGTACAATCATATACGCATTTTTTAAATATACCGATTCCCACAGGGACGGTATAGGATAACCTTAAGCAGCTTTTGAAAAAGTTTTTGCTTCGGAGCAATACTCCATCGATGCAAGTTTGGGTCACCCTGTACCGGTGATAGACTGGCAATGCTGGCGAACCAGCCAGTAGGGACAATTATAAAAACGTAAATAAGTATATCAGTAAAGTATTACATACATATCGTGCACCGAATCCACAATATGGTGTAATTGGATATGAACTGCTCATCTTGTAGGCTCTGAATCTTTGGGTCACTTTTATTTTACGTGTACTAAATTCTTGAAACAAAATAACTGAAAGCTAGTTTCTACGGGATTTTTAAGCGCGCTTTGACCAATACTTAAAAAACAATACAATTACGAATCAACACTATCATTGGAAGATAAGTTCAACTGTGCAAAACCAGCACCGAAACTACCAATGATATCTATTTATAGATTATGATGTATACACATGGTACGCTTCGTGGGACGAATAATCAGTTACAAATGTTTGTTGGAGGTTTACGTATTTATATAATAATACTAAGATGTAGACTGTTTGGTATGGCGGTGTGGTGTATGGAAATGTAGGAACAGCTGTTATACAGTTTTGGGGTGTATAATCACCTAACATACACTTACATTACCACAGGTTAGTGTAGAAGATATTCATATTTCATAATAATATTTTCGGGTTCCACCATAAATTACATCATCACGACCTGGATAGGATAAGGTTGTTCAACTCAAGCACGGTTCATTGAATATTAATTACCTTGGATTATTGAGTATTAGAAGCAGTTATCTTCTGAACAGTACAAGAGAAGTGTACCTTGTCTTTTCCCGGATATAAATATAATTGTTCAAAGTGTTCTGAAATTTGGGAATTTCCTTTCAAGAATTACCAGCATATTGAAAAAACAAATCTAATGTTGGTTAAACAGAATCAAAAGGTAAAAAACATGACAGAAGTACTCACTGTTCATTTGACAATTTTAAGATTTTGAATTATGCCGTGTCGCATGTTGCTGTTCAAATCTGTTGTTGTTTTATTGAAAAACATAAGATTGTTAACTGCTTAATTTACAACACTCTGGGCTTTCTATGACCTCTACTGTGTTCAGCTCGACTTTCTTAAAAACAGCTTTTATACAGTACAAAAAAATCTATGCGGCATAGGATGAAAACGTCCCGGAAAATGATCTTAATACACACACGTTATATTAGCACCAAATCGACATATTCCTTATTGCTTTAGAAATGTGACTTTATGGCTTTTTCAGATCCGATTTATAAACTAACAGTTCGGTTCACATACACAGTGCACGGCGCCAGGATTGAATATTAACATACGTCGTAACTTTCCACCTAATCCAATACGAACATAATACAGGTTGGCCAATATGTAACTGACGGATATAAATTGCGCGACATCTTTGATACACGCATTTCAGTAGGTGGCGGCGTAGTAGTTGTTTAAAGCACATGTGTACTACTCATCATGGAGCGCTACACGATCGCACAACGCGTCCGTATTCTTGAAACGTTTTACTTAAATAATGAGTCGATTGTTGCAACGATTTGGAAGCTACGACAAGATTTCGTGCCCAATGTCAACACCATTCGTCAGTTGGTGCGGTAATTTGAAGAAGCAGGTGAAGTTAAAGACTTGCCATGGTCGGGCCTTGTTCGAACTGTTCTCCGGAAAATATCGATAGAGTTCGTGAAAGTGTAGTGGAGCTCCCTGAGACGTCTACCAGACATCGTTCTCAATAACTGGGTATTCGTCGCATGACATTATGCAATATTTAAAAAAAAGACCTGCATTTGCGGCTATTCAAAATTTAGTTAACCCAAGAACTACAGCCCAGTGACCATGAAAGTAGCCGACAATACAGTCATGCAATACTGCAGCTTAATACACAAAATGACGATTTTTACCGACAACTGATAATGAGCGATGAAGCCCACTTCGATTTGAACGGATTTGTTAATAAGCGGAATTGGCGTATCTTGGCATTAGAGAACCGTCATGTCATCCATCAACGACCACTACATCCTCTTCGACTCACAGTTTGATGCGGTGTTTGATATAGAGGTGTCAATGGACCTTACTTCTTTGAAAACGCTGTAGGTAATTCTCTTACTGTCACTGGCGAGCGCTACCGTAATGTCGTGCAAAACCTTCAGGCTCCTCAAATCCAACACTTTAACGTGCAAAAGAAGTGGTTCCAGCAGGTCGGAGCATCTTGACACTCAGCTAAGGAAGCAATGAATTTTTTGCGAACAATATTTCCGGGACGTTTAATTTCTCGATTTGGTGATGTCAACTGGTCACCAAGGTCACCTGATTTAACGACTCCTGACCTTTTTTATGGGGATTTTTTAAAAATACCAAATACTGTAGAGCGTCTGAAGAACAATGTTACGGAAGCAATTGAAAATATTCCTCCCGAAACCTACCAAAAAGTGATAGGAAATGTAATCAAGAGGCTTCTAGAGGCGGGCATTTGTCTGATATTATTTTTCATACATAATTTCTAAGTTTCAATAGAAAAATAAGGTGAAAAGAATCAAAGAATCGACGTATTTTATTTCATCTCACAAATATCCAAGACACAAACCAGCCAGTTACATATCGGCCACACTGTATAACGATTTTTTTTTGTAACGTAATAGCTTGTCTATCTCAATGCTTTGGTGTAAGTGCCGCCAGGAAGATGTCTTATTTAAAAAAACTTATGTTATGTGGAGGAAAGTCACAACGTAAAAAATTGCATATACTGTTGGCGCTTTTATATTAGCTACACTTTATCACATTAGCTGACCACTACCTTTTCAGAGGGACCTACCATGCCAAGAGTCACAAATGCTATTCTTCTCATCCTATTCCTGCCTCAACTCAACACAAAGTGCACCAATCACTTAACCCAAAAGCATGTGGATGACAATTTCCTTGACAGAATGGCATATGAAACTTCTCAGTTGGAAACCATCGGGATAACTACAGTCTGCACCAATGCGAGCCTGCCGTTGGAGGACTTTGATGAACGTTTCTGTGAAAACTGTACCCGGGAAATGAAAATATTTGCGTCGAACATACCAATTCTACGTAGAACAGTATTTTCTGGGATCAATGATCTAAACATACTGCACATACAAGGAACCAATACTAGTGACATCGAACCAGGGACATTTGCACATATGAGCAAGCTTCAGGAAGTGCATTTCACAAATAATAGTATTACGAAAATCAGTAAAAACGTATTCAACCCTCTCCGAGAAATGAAAATCCTTGACTTGTCTCAAAATAATCTAGCTGAAATTGACCCGGAGTTTCTAGACGGTAACTTGAATCTCATAGATCTCAATTTGTCCTACAATAGGCTACATCTTCTTAATATAAACCAAAGCGTTCACCTAGTTAGTATTGATGTAAGATATAACAGACTCAAGACTATCGCGTTTGGAAATATATCTGCTAATTTCAGCTACTTATCTCACAATACCCTAGAGAGAATTGCAGGTTGTACCTTAAATGTATATAATTTGGATATAAGTTATAATAACATGTCTGGCTTTCCCATACTAGACCCAGATTGTACGGTCTATATATTCGAAGTAAGAATACTCAATATGAGCCACAATAACTTTAAGCAATTGGAAAATGAATTTTTTCAGGCCTTCACTAATTTGTCCTCTTTAGATTTAAGCAATAACATGATTCATCACTTGCCCACCTCGATTGTCCTATGTATGCCAGCTTTGTACAATTTTAACATATCTCACAATATTCTAGATGAATTGGATGTTAGTATATTTAATAACGAATTAAACTTGAAGCACGTGGATATGTCGCACAATAAAATAATCTTCGCAAGGGGAAATGTTGATTTCAATCATTCGATGAAGAATTTAGAGCTAAATATTGGTTATAATCCGATTGAGCTCAATACGAGTACCCTGATTCATCTTATAAAAATTTTGCCACCTGGCACCAAACTTCATATAAGTATTCTACAGAGTAACTCTGTTTGGAAAAGACCTAAATTAGTACTTGATGAAGCAGTAAGAGCAGATATTAGGATAATAGCTGGTTCTAATGACAGTGAGATGATTTCAGTAGAAAGCAGTGATAATATTAAACTAAGTCGGAACGTATCTGGAGTTTCAAATGAGACATTTGGCAATGCATCAACACAATTACAAGACTCATTTAAGCAGTTCAACAATACTATGTCTACGTATATCAATGAAACTACAGCTCAACAAACTAACCTCAGTAGCAACTCAGATGAAGCATTTCATAGTAATCGGACTTTACTTATAGTACTAATTTTTTTGCTGATTGTAATGATCGTTTTGATCTCAGTTTCAATAGTTGCTTGGTTTACTCGTAAAAACAGTTGTATTCGAAAGAAGGAAGATGATATACCGCTACTGGATGACCACAATATACATGTGAATTCTGTTACCCTATGTTGAGACATTGCCAATAAAATAGATTTTATTTATACTTTTGTGATTTTTCTCTGATATTAAATGAAAATGTTTTGCATGACGAAGACTATTAACTTATCATTCACCTTATATTTTGGAGGAAGATACTAGTAATCAATTTCTTGATGGCAAAAGTCCTGCTTAGGGATGCAGGAATATTCGTCAGTTTAATGCTTGATGGTATTCAGTGCTTAAAAAGAGGCTTGCTTAAAATGGTATGGAAAAGTTTTGGAATGGTGCCATTCTTTTAGGATTTCTGCGAGCTCCTTGCGGATTTTTGACTTCGCTATATCGCTTAGAAAAAAGTTGGGTACGAACATGTATTACAAAGGAATTAAATGGATCATCTCAGTAAAAGGACAACATTGCGATCTAGCCTACCGACCTCCCAGCAACGTGGCAACCCAGCACGGCGTTGCATACACGAATTCCCGCATTATCATTCAGTTTTCTTTTATCTGGAGTCAACTCACATGGGAGAGTGAGAAAGAAAGCGGCGTCGCCAGACCACAAGCTGACAACACTGTGGCATCCGCAAAAAATGGCGGCTTTGACAAGTATGTCGGTTTATGGCTGCCATTTTTTAAATTCCCGCCAAGAACCTGTGCGAAGTTACATAACATCTTTTTGTGCTCTTTCTTATGTAGATGGCGTCCAAGGTAGGTTATTCGTAATAACAATTTTATTTATTATATAATAACTAAAAGTGTTCCTATTTGAGCTAGATTTTTTTGTAGAGTTGATGAACTTTCGAATCGAGAAATTGTATAAGAGAACAACTCATTTTCTTTTAAGGTGACTGTAATCACCAAACAGAGCATCCTGATCCATTGGAAAAAAAGGCTTGGCGATAGAGAGATTCTATATTATATATTTTTTTTGAATATAATGTTATTTCTAAATTTGTGTTCAGCTCAGATACGAGGGTAGTCCCAGAAGTACCCGACCCAACGAAGAAAACACAAAAATTTTGTAAAAAAATGTATTTATTTTTCAACATAATCTCCGTTGAACTGTATACACATTTCCCATCGATGTTCAATAAGTTCGATACCCTTTTTATAATAAGAACTGTCTTGCTCCTCAAAATCGCCATTAACTGCCGACATCACTTCATCATCGTTGGAAAATCTTTGACAACTGAGCCATTTTTTCATGTTTGGAAACAGAAAATAATCCGAGGGAGCTAAATCTGGTAAATAGGGTGCATAAGGTAGCAATTCAAACTTTAATTCGTTAATTTTGACCATTGCAATAACGGATTTGTGAGCTGGTGCATTGTCTTGATGAAACAACACTTCCTTCTTAAGCAAATGCGGCCGTTTTTGCTTGATTTCATCGCTTAAACGTTGCAATAAGTTCGCATAATACTCACCGTTGATAGTTTTACCTTTTTCAATATAGTCAATGAAAATTATCCCACGCGCATACCAAAAAACCGACGCCATAACCTTGCCTGCAGATGAAACGGCCTTCGCCTTCTTTGGAGCGGGTTGTCCCTTTTGAGTTCATTGTTTTGATTGTTCTTGTGTATTGGGTGTGAAGTTATTGACCCATGCTTCATCCATGGTTATGAAACGACGAAAAAATTCTGCTTTGTTGCTGTGAAACTCAGCTAAACACTCAATTGTATCATCTTCACGACACTGTTTTTGCTCGATTGTGAGCAATCGCGGCACCCATCTTGCACACAGCTTTCTCATGACCAAATTTTCAGATAATATGCTATGAACCGCACTTTTTGAAGTGCCTACTATGTCTGCTAGCTCGCGCACTTTCAATCGATGATAATTCAGTACCGCTATGTGAATGTTTTTTACCATTTCTGGAGTCGTCACCTCATTTAGTCGACCACTGCGATGCTCGTCTTGGCAGCTCATACGGCCTCGTTTAAACTCTGCTACCCAATATTTTACTGTTGTAAACGAAGGAGCAGACTCACCCAGATTAGAATCCAGTTCAGCTTTTATATTGGTTGGGCTGAGGCCTTTGAAATAAAAGTATTGTACCTCATAACGATGACCAATTTTATCCATTTTCACAAATTCCCTGAAAACGTTCAGTATTGATGGCTGCCAAACAAATATTAAACAACGTGACGTCTTCAAACTTGGCACGTATGCTTCATAGGTTGCATACTTTCTAACACAATGATATTTTCCAAACAACTATCAGCATCTCTAGGTCAGGCCGGGTACTTCTGGGACCACCCTCGTATGATGGTATTTGCATCATCTGTTTTACATGCATTATATGTATCATTCCAACCAGGTGATATATGATCTGTTAGATCTGATGTGTAAAAGGTAAATAGCACAGGGCCTAAAACACTCCCTTGTGGACATTTTATCATGCACTTTCGTGCACTGAAATATATCAGTCAAATAGTTCGTGAACCATTGCAAAGCTCTGTCTGCAAAACCATAATGTTCTAATTTTGTACACAGTATCTTATCAATCAAACGCTTCATCGATCAATCATATCAAACGCTTTGCTGTAATCCAACATCACTAGTAGCGTAACTTTGCCGTCAGCGATGCACTTGACTATGTCACTTTACCCCATTCGTTGTCGATTTACGGCCAGACAAAACACAACATGCCCAAAAACAAGATTGTACAGGTATTTTCCCCAATGGTCTTGGAAAAATCTAACAAAATAAATGATTATTTTTATAGAAAGGGGTGCACATACTTTTCAAAATCCTTTATTCGCTGCATCATCATCCGAATGGTTAATATTTGTTATTACAGGTTCAATTTGAATATCGATCATATTGTCCAGATCTCACATCTTTGTTCCGATTATCTCTTGAATGTGACGGATGCAATCTTTCCAATGATTTGCCGTCACTCTGTTGACAGCTTCATAAAACAAATTTTTCACGTCAGAAAATTTGAATGTTCTATTGTTTGAAGCCACATAGTTTTTTATATTTGCCCAAATCACTTCAATGGTGACTAGATGGATAAATTCTGCTTTGACCATGTTTTCATTGAAACTAATGTCGTTTGTTAGGAGCCATTGTTGAATTTCTTCAAAAAAAAAAGAAAAACTGAAAAAACAATACAAAAAACAAAGATACATTTGATAATTAGAAGATAACAAATGTAGGTGTATAAAAAATATGGTATATAACATATATAAGTGAAGGCTATTCAATATTTCATGATTTAAAATTATAAAATTGTAACAGTCATACAAAACAAAGGAATGCTATATTGGAAATATTTTTGTGTGGGGTGACAGATAAATTTTATCAACTAATTTATATACTTCTATTCAAAATAAATTTCTTCATATGTCTTTTAAATCCATCATATGATAGTAATTTTGTGGATCGAGGTAGAGCATTGTAAAAAATAAGGTGTGGTGAAGCATCTACGAAAGAATGATGTCCTGTGGAGGGGCATGGTGAGTGTTTCAGTGAATCGAATGTCCCTAGAATGGATATTGCTTCTAGATATCAGCTTATTTCTCAAAAACGGCAGAATGGATGACAGTAAAAGCCTGTGGGTGTAAGTAACTAGGTGTAGCTCAACCACTTCATGTCATTGAAAAAAGGGCTAATATGATCATATTTTTTCAAATTATTGATCAACCTACAACATGAGTTTGGGATGTTTCCGAGACGTGCTAGAGATATTGAGTCAAGAAATGGAAGAGAAACTAAATCGCAATAACTAATTTTGGTCATTACCAAAGATTCACACAAAAGTTTTTTAGTTGTAAAGTCAAGAAATTGTTTATTAAGATATAATTGACGTAAAATTGAAAAACAACTCTTACTGATATTATTTACATGTGGTATAAAATTTAGACATTCATCTAAAGTTACGCCCAAGTTTTTTACTGACTCACTTACTTCTATAGTCTCACCATTTAATTTTACTTTAAAATTTCTTTTGGCATCACTTCTAAATAGTTTTGGTGAAAAAATGATGACTTTCGATGTTACAGTGTTCAACTGAAGGTTATGATTTTCTGCATACATACTAATAGATGTTATATCTTAATTTACCTCAGATACAGCATTTCGAATATCGTGATTATGGAAAATGACTGTAGATCTGTGAATCGTCGGCAAATAATTGGATATTACAATATTTAACAACTGAATGGAGATCAGATATATACAGAATGAATAGTAGTGGCCCAAGTACAGACCCTTGAGGCACTCCGGAGGAAAGGAGGCACTTTGAAGATAGAACCATGTCAATGTGAACCTTTTGATATCGATTTCCTAAGAAGCTCTGAATCATTTTTGAGGCAGAGTCAGAAAAACCAAAATATTTGCACTTGGCTACTAGAAGACGATGATTTATGGTATCGAATGCCTTAGAGAAGTCAAGAAGAACTAATGATGTGATCATATTTATTTATTTATTTATTTATTTCCAACAGGTGAAACCCGATTACAGGAAATGCTGAAAAAAAATAACAATTAAAGAGACATGGTTCTTGGACTTAAATCTATAGTATCACACATTCTAAATAAGTTTGGATGATCTATAGCAGTTAATAATCGATGCACAACTGTCACTGTAAATATCACACGATTCAGTAACACTGTTCATGACGCAGCACATGAGATTAATTGGCGATTTTGTCATAACATTTGTACGGCCAGCTTGACAATAGAATGCCGTTTGTTGTTGACTCCCTAGCCTTGGATCGCGGAAAAATATTTTTTCAAGTAAATTTTGACAGTCAATTTTATTGTGAATGAGGCCATACATAAACGACAAAGCAAATATGTTTCGTCTTGTTGACAGTGAATCCAAATTGAAAAACTCTAATAGGGCACTATGGTCACAACCTCTTTCTGGGCAAGAACCTGTGCATTTAAGGTGAAAATACTTTAAAGCTTTACGTTGAATGGCCTCAAGGATCACGACAGAATTTTGGTAAAAAGTAAAAAATAAAGTCATTAATGTATCAACATTGGATAAACCCTTCCGGTTTCTGATACAGAAACCAAGTAGTCGAGTGGCTGCCGACGAGATATTGAGTATATGCTCAGTAAACGTTACATTGGTATCAAACGTGACTCCAAGGTCTCTATAAGAGGTGCATCTGTCTATAATCTGACCATTGATGTTATAATTCTCATAAATTAAATAGTTTACTTTTCTTGTATAAGTCATAACTTTACATTTCGAAACATTCATATGTTGATCCCAGGCACTAACAATGTTATCGGTTAAGCCTAATGGGGCACCTGCAGTGTTATATCCTTTTCGATAACCGCATTGTTTGGGAGGAAACACTTTATGTCTAGAGAGATAATCGTAAATTTGGGCGTACATTGCTTTTTCTAATAATTTGGACAAAACAGGTAAAATACTAATTGGTCTTAAATCAGAATATAATTTTGGCTTACTTATTTTAGCTAGAGGTAACACTAATGCTTCTTTCCAAGATTCTGGGAAGAATACTCTTTCTAAACAGGTATTTATGATGTGACCTGAATTCGCAAAGAAGCATAGTTTTAGCATTTTGAGTGACACGCCATCTCTTCCTGAGGCATTCGATTTCAGAGACTGGAACATCGATTTTAAATCAGTCATATCGATTGGTTTAAACTTGAATCGATCACTAGGATAGTGATTCTTTTCATAATGCTCATTCTTGTCTGTGCATGAACAAATGGCGTTATTAAAAATGGAACATAAATAATTATTAATGTCAGTAGGGTTCTTTAAACGTAGAGGAATATCGGTATTTTGTGACGGTTGTATACGCATTGATTTTAAGGATCCATAAAACATTTTTGAACGGAGGGATAATAAATATGCTGCTTTTTCATATCTAATTTGAATCAAAGTTGAATTTCGGAGCTCTTTGTAGCGATTCCAGGAATCTTCTGTCTTATTAATTTTAAACTGATTTAAAGCTCTGTCTCTGTCTTTCATCATACGTTTAAGCTGGGATGATAGCCAGGGTGCATGCGGTTTATTTACACGTACAATTCTTAGAGGTGCATGCTTATCAAAAATTAATTTTAGCCCATCTGTCAAATAGGAAATTTTGTGGTCAATACTTTCTACGGAATATATAATGCTCCAGGGAAAGTTTAAAATATCATTTTGAAATGATGAGATATCAAAATTTTTAAAGTCCCTGAATTTAACGAATTTTTGCTTACCTTTTTTAGACTGCAAAGTTGTTTCGCAAAATACTAAAAAGTGATCGGTAAATAAATCCATATTTATAGTCCCAGAATTTGAACAGACTTGAAGATCATTGGTAAATATGGGTTCCAGTAGGCTGCTCGAAGTACTAGTTATTCTAGAGGGTTCTATAATAACTTGATCGAATGGATAAGCATTAAAACAATTTTCTCATTTGTTGTCTGAACTTAAAAGATTTATATTCATATCTCCAATGACTACAACATAATCAAAGTTGGGTACCAGAAAAGAGAGAGCATTATCGAAAAAATCAATGGCTTCATCAACATTCTTATGGGGAGGTCGGTAAATTACCCCGAAGGCAAGAGTTTGACCACATAATTTCAATTTAATCCACATATTCTCAACACTAGGAAAGTAGCCAATATGGTTCTCAATCTGTAATTCTTCACAGAGCAAACCATTTCTCACAACGAATAGGGTATAGAGCATACCGGAAATTAGTTAGAGTAAGATTAAGCTAATTCGCACTGCAAGTCGTACATTAGAAGTTGGTAATTAGTGGGTCATGAAGGTCATTAAAAAGTTTGTCATTACGATCTTCCCGTCTTCATCTCCATACCCACCAAATGCCAGCGCATACCAGGGGCAGGTAGTTAAGAGCATGATAAAGGATTTCGCTCCCGGCAGCGCATTCTGATCAGAAAATTTACATAGATAGATAGAGCGACGAGTGGAGCCGCGGTACGGTAACACATCTCACCGCAGGATCCCGGATACCCCAAGAGGTTTCTGTCTTGACATGTTGAATACCGCAGCCTCAGTCCCAGATCTCAACCTTTAGAGTAAAATTGAATATATTTTAGGACGTTGAAGAAGATGAAAACAGTGCCTTGTAGAAATAATAGGAAAAACCAAAAATACAATAAATAGATAAAGTAAAATATTGTTAACTAAAATTCTGACGTGTCTTGTGCATCCTCGAAGAACTACGCTCCTCTAAGCTATTTTCTCTGCGTTACAAGTCTGCCAGACAGGCCTGTTAGGCTTATGTCTCTTATTTTAGTTCTTTGAGAATGGGTATTTAAAATTAGGAACAGTCTACGAAAAGGTGCTACCGACTTATACGAACAGTATATTTTATAGTAGATGCTGCTCTTAGGTTCATATTCCAGCTTTGCTTTTTTCAGAATAAATATAGAAGCGGCTAAAGTATTTTAAGTTGAACCATACAAAGTATACGTCGTCACAGATAAGGATCGGATTATCCACTTGACTAAATAAATTTTCCTGAGAGTGGAGTGGTCTTGATACCTAGAAAAGGCTGACTTAATGTACAAGATGATACTTAATATATGGATTACTTTGATAAGATACTGATAAAAAAAAAGTATATAGTCAAGAAAAAAGTAGACAGTACAGCAGACTCTTAATTGTCACTAAGATGAGGGGTGTCTTGGTCGTTGTATTATTTTTCCTATACTGTGGAGGTAAGCGTACTTCTTTTATGCTATATCAATGAATTAAGTATATGATTTTTTTGTCAGCGAAATTATGTAGTCAGTATATTATACAGGGTGTTTCACAACTAATCCGACAAATTTTAACCACATATGTAGTGTTCCGAAAGAAATTGATTTCTCAAAAAGAAATGTAATAAAAGTCTTACAGAAATCGAGATAATAATGTAATACAGTTTAACAACAGTTCTCTTACTTATAAAAGCTGTCCAAATTGTTCTTATTCCCGGATTTGTTCTACAATATCCAAAATTTCGTCTTCGGTATTTAAAACGCGTTGTGGGCGAGCCCGACCCCCATCCACTCCACGTCTGGGGAGCAAATTTCCACTAGCACGTGAACTAAATGTTTCGTGATGTGGTATGTGCCTATTCGGAAATCGATGGGCATACAAACGAGAAGCCGCTCGCGAATTTTGCCTCCGTACGCTAAAACAATGTCCACTAACTCCTTATTAATGTACACATGTGCCATTTTTATTAATAAATAACAAAAAACGTAAACTCGCAAAATAAATTCTTATTTAACTTCACAAAAATCGACCGTTCTTCATTCCGATCACCCACGATACAGATCAAACCTCATTTACACGTTCTTATCAGTTTGAAAAAACAAAAAATTCCTGGTGTTTTGTTTCCGTCAGTTGTTTGGTACAACATTTGCTACAATAAATTATTAATGCGTGTTCTAGTGTCAGGACGATGAACGCAAAATCCAGATATTCATTTTTCAATTTATTACTGAAACTCAGGTTTGTAACTTAATTTCTGTATGACTTTTATTACATTTTTTTTTGAGAAATCAACTTCTTTCGTAACAGTGCATATGTGGTTAAAATTTGTCTGAAAAAATGCCCAATTTTGACGGCTTGCAGCTACGACATTTTTGAAGGTACTTAGATAAATCTTGATTTACTTATATTTTATTATCACCGATTTTAAGCTGATTTGATTAAAATGCTGACATTTCTTCCTATTTAGTCTCCAAATGCAAAATATACGATTTCTTAAAAATTTGAAATGTATATTTCTACATCCTTTAACGGGGCTCCTACAATCACGAGCACCATCTGCTGAGGTAACGGGGGGGTGAAAAGGAAACGAGGGTGGGCTGGCCCTAGATGGTCGTCGGCGCTACTTTAAAAAAGGAAAGGATGACTGCGGGTGCATACCAAAGTAAATTTTTATAATAACGGAGTCGGATTTCGATTAGCGATCTAGCGTGTAAATCGTTTCCTATTTTGGTACTCAGCAAGTGATCATTTAGTATTTTTCTCCCCTTGTTACTGTTCGTCGATATTATGTTGTTGAATTGTTGTGCTGTACTCTTGTTGATGTGATTGTTCTTGAGTGCCTTTTTTATCAAGGTTGATAATGGAAAATAAAAGGTCATATGCGACCATTTTCATTACGAATCCAGTGAGTTTAATTCATGATGAGCGAATAAATTATTGCAAGACGTGGTCATACCATGGAAGATATGCTGCAGCTGTGCTGAGCCACAATACCCAGCGGCCTGTCTATGTGGTCCAAATACATTTGCGTACTAAGCTTAGTCCAACCTCGCTCATCGCTAACATGGAACAAAGACTCAAACGCAAGAATCTTGAAAAGAAACTCAGGCCAAAAAAAGCTGATAGCAATTCCAAAGAAAATGAATATTTTTATGGCAAATTCTGTCAAAAATCTGACATGAACGACATTGATTTTAAGGTTGCCAAGCAAGAATTTTTAGGGAAACTTAAAAAAAGTGACGACGCGATTTTGCAAATCACAGGACTATACTTTGTGGCGCCTTCATCGGAGGATAAGATTGACAGCGTCTCGATTTGATGAAGTTTGTAGAAGAAGACACACAACAAGCTGTAAAGTTCTAGTAAACTCCATCATATACCCAACAGAGTTTTCTAGGAAGGCAATAAAAAAGGCAATACAAAAATCATTGGACACCGCAGCTCAATCTTGTGGTTTGTTTATTGATGGCACACATCCATTTCTGGCAGCATGGCCTCCATCTACCTAGTACAGTAGACAAGAAATGTACTTAATCCATGTGTAAGCCTACCTGTTTATTGCTTTGCAAAAACTACCTATCTGTTTCCTCTTATTTTGACAGCATAAGATATTTTATGACCCTCGTTCAATTGTTACCATGTACCACATGACACTTGTAAACATAATTGTGTTTATTGACATGAATAAATGAATTTGAATGTGAGTTCTTGAATTCATTTTACTAAAGATATCAAATCATTTGAATACATTTTTTCTTAGTCGGAACGCACCGTCGCGTCGCTTGGACTGGCAGGACGCAACAGTAGACGAATTTCGCCCAAAAACAGATGTGCACTTCACAGCTTACGTTTTATTTTTTATTATTTCCAAATGAAACTCTTGCAGCGTGCTAAAAACAAAGTCCACAGGGTGCTAACGATCCATTTTTTCGATTTTATCCACTAGGATCTTTTTAAAATATCAAGAAGTTGAGCACCCACCATAATTCTTGCACAAAGACAAAATTTTGTAAAAAGCTCTGATAGCACCTTAGGCAATTATGTCCTGCTTATATCCAGAAAAACATCACAAACTGCAGAACGTAAATTGAAGGTAACGGCGAAATGGGTACATTTCACGGGCAATGAAATTCAAATGAAAATGCAGATATAAGATCTACCAAATTATCGTTCTCAAAAAAATATTTCCTTGACATATGGATAATTTTAAAGTGCCATGCTAAATTCCCCTATACTTGACTGGAGTGATATTCGAATTCATTCTTCCCTACAGTCGGCAGTTGCAGATAGATCTGTTGGCTCTTGTTGTTAAACTTATAGAGCAGGTACCGATTTTTTCAAAACGTGAGCACATTATTCGTCGGATTTTCGTTACTTAAATTTTCGGTAGTCACTGGGACCAGAAGCTTCTTAACAATAGAACGTATTTCACTGATATCAAAGATGCAACATTTAGAATCACCTTCCCCCAACCCCTACTTTTTAAGCAGTACAATTTTTTTATGTCAATGAAGAACCCCTGTAACATCAAAAAAGCAGTTTCAGCAATTGTTACTTTCTTTGCCTATAGCACCCTTGCCATTGGACTAAAACTACAAAGCTACAAATACCAGAGCCAATCGAAACTTTAATGCAACGAAACTAAAGTAACACTCAAATTGACCTAACGTATGTCCTAAAAGTTTTGGCAAAAGATATTTATCGGATTTTTTATTTATGAAGAAATTTATTTAAACACTAACTAGTTATAAATTACAACTCAATACTTAACTAGACTATACGATCGAATTATGTGGAGTGGCCCATTCTGCTCAGACGCAACTATTTCCGAATTTCTCTCATGAGGTCCTGGACGGAATTCAGATCAGTTTCTCTCGGTTTTTCTTAAACTCGCCATCTCAGATGTTGATGATAAACATTCCTAGACAGTAAAGCCCGACAAATCCTCTATTGGGCGAGTCTGCCGCAAGTTTGGAGGATTATCGTTTTCGAGAACAAAAGGTATGTTGTGTTGTTGATGCCAGTTTTGGCTATCTCTTGAGTAATGGCATGATGCTATCTCTGGCCAAAACATGAGATGGTCATTAGCATGATGTTCGTGGACAAAAGATAGTTATCAATAATCTTCCCACAAAAGGTTGGGATACACCCCTGTTAGAAATTGCGCTCCAGAATAGGATTTTATCTGCAAATTTCGCTTTGTGTTTGTAACTGTTATTTTGTGATAAATTCTCTAAAAAATACCTTAGATATAGAAGTCTGGACGAATATTTACTATGCTGTTACATATTGTATTGTCTTGTGGGGGCAGGCTAAAGAGGTCCAGCGTGTTTTTGTCCTCCAAAATAGGCATCATCCTTACTGTGGCATCTATTTAAATTTTCTAGCTATAAGTGTATTTTTTCCTAAATAATAACAAATTCAGAAGACGATACGCATAATTACAAAGACAATTTCATTAACAATACATTTTATCACATGTACTATAAAAAGTCTCCAGTTTATGGTGGATGTATGCTTTTTAACTAGCTTCCAGCCGACAAGCGTGAGGTTAAGTCGTTGAATAGTTTTAAAAGAAAGATAAGAAACATTTTATCGGAAGGCTTCTTTTACAGTATTGACGAGTTAATCGTCTATTCTAAAAAGTAATATACACTTTGATATATCTTTTTATCCTAGTGTCGTCATTTAAGTATCTTTTTGATATTCGCACATTGTACCAGTTTTCATTTCGTTTTCTTATGACGCATTCCATGACACCGCTTGATGATTTTTTAAGACACTTCTATGGAAAAAACAACAGGTAGTTTCAAGAAATCTGCCCTGCAGCAAGTTGGAGGTTATGCAGTTTGGTTTTTGAATAATGGATTTTCAGAACTAATCTAATTTCAAGTTCTGTTCCAGTGATTACTTCAGAAGCCGATGACAAGATATACAAATGCCCAACCTGTAGAGGCATCGAATGTCTCCTACATGAAAAATATGTACCCTGTAGTGAGAACAATCCAGCCTTACCTGCCCACTTGGATGACGTGATTGATCAGCAAGGAGAACATGCTCACTACATGTGCATCTCTCTTAACTTTTTTGGTAAGAATTTCAATTCATACTCTCTTCCTCTTTCTCCGAGCACCATCCAAGAACTAGCTTTGACACTTTTGCTTCCGGGAGGCTGTAGCTAAATCTTTTATATTTTTCAAGATACGTACATTGGTGGCAAAAATAAATAAACATAACTTCTCATAACTTTTTCATTAAATGTTCTATCCTAGGCCTTCGTTTCTTTTGTCCCTAAGTCCTTCTCGTTGCATTCGTTTTATGGAGAAGTAAAACAAAAACGTTAAGGTGGTGAAATTTCCCTGACTCTAGGTGCTCCGGAATGAAGAATTTTTTTATTAATTCCCAGCGGTGCCTCCCTTTGCAATTCGACTGAGATCGAAGTGTGACAATGGCAGGATTTAAAAACGGCCAAGCTGTCCTGATTCCACAGTCTATGTACGACTCCTCTCGCCTCTCTGCGGGTCATCAGGTCCAACGACGGGAGATCCAGCAGAGCTTCCATTCCAGTTAATGGCGTTGTCCGCACTCCGCTTGTAATAGTGGTCAAAAGCTGGATTTCATTATTTTTAGCCTTAGTTGTCTCGGTTCCAATGCAAGGGCACCAAACCACGAAGCTATACAAAAGCGATGGAATATAAATGTAAATATGTTTATTCTTTTCAGTAATACCTGTGAAGCAGTGCATACGGACCACCAGTAATGATGTCTGCAAAAATCTGAGAAATCATGATATGAGAGTTCTATCCTGTTCATTGAGTGAACCAGAAATTGAACAAAAAACTACAGCACACCCTTCAAGTTCCACGTCTGCAGCGAAAACGACAACTCCAAAGCCGCCGAAAACTTCAACACCAAAACACACAACAGCTCACCATAAAACCACTTCAAGGTCCACGTCTGCAGCGACAAGCAGGAAACCAACTTCTCCAGCAAAAAAGACAACTCCAAAGCCGCCGAAAACTTCAACAGCAAAACACACAACAGCTCACCATAAAACCACTTCAAAGTCCACGTCTGCAGCGACAAGCAAGAAACCAACTTCTCCAGCAAAAACGACAACTCCAAAGCCGCCGAAAACTTCAACAGCAAAACACACAACAGCTCACCATAAAACCACTTCAAAGTCCACGTCTGCAGCGACAAGCAGGAAACCAACTTCTCCAGCAAAAACGACAACTCCAAAGCCGCCGAAAACTTCAACACCAAAACACACAACAGCTCACCATAAAACCACTTCAAGGTCCACGTCTGCAGCGACAAGCAGGAAACCAACTTCTCCAGCAAAAACTACAACTCCAAAGCCGCCGAAGACTTCAACAGCAAAACACACAACAGCTCACCATTCAACCACTGAGGAGCCTTAAACATGGAAATCTTCATCAGCAAAACATTGAACTGGTCGACATTCAGCATAGGATTCTTCAACATGACAACCTTCAACAGCTCAGCATTTCACATCAGCAGACCGCCGTTGCAATCGCTGTTCACGGCTGCCTACTAAAATGTTATTTAACCAGGATATGTACAATTCTGCTAAAGATACTGTGAATGGTTTTGCCACGTTTTCAGTAGTGTTTTTGCTCCACCTAGTCCAGAAGGTTGTAGTGTAAGTGATGATACTGTATGTAACCATTATGGAATAAACTTATATAAGATCTCTGAACAAGAAGTTATATTTGCCTTTAAAAGCAACTACAGACACATGTAAATTTCCAGTTGCGTGAGTGTCCCCATTTTCAAATCTGAGGATCGTTCTTACATATATGGTTAAGTATAGAGTGTAAGTGTGCTGAGCTTCTGGAGATAGTCATTCACAGTCGAATATATAATTCCGTATGTGATCTCATTTCATCCTGTGAGCATGCCCTTATGTCAAAAAGATCAACGACAACAAATCTGATGGTATTTACACACTATGCATCAGATTGATACTGGGCCACGTTTATCAACACAATATATATATATATACATATAATATATATATATATATATACATATAATATATATATATATATATATATACATATAAGGGTTGTCCAATAGGGACGCAGGAAAGTAAACGTCAATTTTACATAGATGCCATCTTTGTTTTCTGTCACCGACATGTCATTTTGTTAGTTGAATGTTTACCATTGATCGCTATGGAGTCGTATTCGATTGAAGACCGCATTAAAGTTATTCAAGAGCACTACAAAAATGGTGCAAAAATAAAAAACACGTTTCGCGCGCTTCGTGAACATTTGGGTCGCAACAACCGCCCAAACGAAACAACCATCGGTCGTCTGTTGCGTAAATTCGAGGCAACAGGTTCTGTGGCAAATCTGCCAGGCTCTGGCCGGCCAAGGAGCGTTCGCACACCGGAAAAAATTGCTGTTGTGAAGGAGAGTGTGAGAGACGATCCGAAACAATCAACAACGCGTCGATCCCAAGAATTGGGCATTTCGAGAACCAGTTTGCTCCGCCATTCTCCACAAGGATTTGAATGTACACGCCTACAAGATCCAATTGACGCAAGAGCTGCGTCGGGCCGACCATTTTTCGCGCCGAACGTTCTCAGATTGGCTCCTTGAACACCGCCAAATTGATGCCAATTTTTCATCAAAAATCATGTTCAGCGACGAAGCGCATTTCACTTTGAATGGGACGGTAGACAAGCAAAACTGCCGCATCTGGGCGAACGAAAACCCCCGTGAGTATCAGGAGCAGCCGATGCATCCTCAAAAAGTGACTGTGTGGTGTGCATTGTGGTCAAAAGGCATCATCGGACCTTACTTTTTCTAAAATGCGGCCGGGGATGCCGTTACCGTCAATTCTGAGCGATATCACGTGATGATAGAGGACTATTTTTTGCCGCAACTTGAAGGAATGGATATGGACGATGTTTATTTCCAACAAGACGGTGCAATATGCCACACAACCAACGTAAATATCCATCGATTGCAGTCCTTCTTCGGTGATCGTGTGATTTCGCGCAGAGGAAATGTGCCATGGCCACCAAGATCGTGCGATTTGACTCCCTTGGACTTCTTTTTATGGGGATATTTGAAAAGCAAAGTCTACGTCAACAAACCAGCCACCCTCCAAGAACTCAAAAACAACATCATTGCCGAGATAAATGCCATAGAACCGACCATGTTGCAAAATATCATTAAAAATTTCGACCATCGCGTGGACGTCTGTAAATCCAGTCGTGGTGAACATTTGAGCGATATTATTTTTCATACATAAATGGTATAAATGAACCTTCAAAATGAACTTGATTTGAATATCAATCTTTCTTGTTTTAATATGCGTTTACTTTCCTGCGTCCGTTTTGGACAACCCCATATACGAGTATATAGGTGAAAATTAAAGCTTCCGCCTTTTGTTGGGTACTTCGACAAAATTTAAGCAATACTTTTTTAATCTCTCTAGCTTTCAATGGTCTTTGCCATCATCATCAGAAGCTGCAATTACATTGATAAAACTAGCAACAATTGTGTAAAATGAATTTAAATTAACTTACAGTAGTATGTGAGGATGTTGCCAAATGTTATTTACGTTAAGGATGAAGGAAACACCCAGTAACATGGTGAAAACTGGATACATGGTACAATGGTCAAAATTATACAAACTACACACAGATGTATGACAAGAACAAATTAAAAACAGATTAAAAATATTTATAACGAAAGTTAAGCATTACATCGTGAAGCCACCTGATGATTGCACAAAATGGTGGGCATAGAATCATGAGTAATATGAACCTTTTGACAGATGGACGAAGGTTAGCAGTGTCCGTATAGAATGATGGAACAAAAATTCTTTTGTAAGGCGTGTGCGACGTTGCCAAATCACTTCAGATGGTGTTGGGTAAGAACTTGTCAACCCGACCAGAGGCAGTTGAATTAACTATATTATGAGATGGGCAATGGAATTAACAGTTATTATTTAATTATGAGAAAACAGTTATTAAAATTTTTGAATGGAAAGGAATTTTTTGGTGGAATAGACCAAAAAAATAGATACCATTTATGGTTGCTACTTTTATCAATATAATTGCAGCTCCTGATGATGATGGCAAATACCATTGAAAGCTAGAGAGATTAAAAAAGTATAAAGAGTCCTCCTTGCTTAAATTTTGTCGAAGTACCCAACAAATGGCGGAAGCTTTAATTTTTACCTAACTGGTCTAGACGACAATGACCACGTCTCAAGTTATATATATATATAAAGAGAAAATGATCATATGGAGAAAGGTTTATAACAAAAAATAGGAAAATAATGGGCAAAATCAGCAATTCGTATATCTGCTTGTTCTCTTCATTAGGCCCGAAATTGATGCAAGTATGCAACCACCAAAGTAGACATACATGCCATACATCCGGATACTGGTGTAACCTGAGGAAACGAAGATAGAGAGGGAAAAAAATAACACACAATCCCCAACGAGAGCCAACCTACACATGGGCATTATATCATTACTGTCCTATTTTTTGATGGGCACCCAGTATAATTGCCAATATTTCAGAAATGTGCCCTCACATGTCATGTACACCATGCCGTTAATAGATTTTCACAAAATGTATTTGTTTATGAGTAATATTCCGTCCACACATGGATGGGCCACCCTGTATATTTATCGATTTTGCCAAATCCTTTTACAGGTTGGATCATGCACTTCTTATAAATAAATAACGATGGGTTAGATAATTTAATTTTGCTATTTTTTTAGTCATATATCCAATAAAAGGCAGTTTGTTTCATATAATGGTTCCAACTCTTATTAGTATGCTCGTATAACGGGGGCGCAGTAGGGATCAAATCTTGTCGCACTGCTTCTCTCATTATTTATAAATGACTTGTGTGATACTTTCAATTGTAACAAACTTCCTTATGTTGAAGATTTGAAAATTTTCTTATCTATTACAAGTATGGAGGACTGTCATACCTTACAGACGGAACTGGATAATATTCTGACTTCGTAACAAGTAGTTAAACTTGGTTAGAATTTAAACAAGTGTATCAAAGTAAGTTTTATCAGAAGGAAAAGTCCGTTGGTCTTCGACTATACTGTAAACAATGAGGTACTTTCTCGTTATCAGAAAACTAATGATCTGGGAGTTGTTGATCACTGAACTTTGTCTTTTGTTGAGCATATCTCAACAATAGTTAATAATAAGGCGTATGGATTCATAATGAGAATCTGTCATCTGTCTGTGCATGTCTTCTAAGTATACTACTGAAAAACTGAAGCATTGGTGATTGAATCTGATAAACATGCGATAAAATGTCATTTTCGAGGCCAAGATTATAAGTTGTTCGAAATAACAAAATCAATGTATCAAATCACAATATTCATCTGTTCAAAGATCCGGTCGGTATGGCGTCTATAAGAAAAAATAAAGTTAATGATTTCACTAGAGACGGGACGTCATATTGAAATTCTAATTACGCCATCTTGATGAGGAGAAAAATTGGCAACGCTAATGTAGTGTTTATTTTGGACCTCATTTTAAATAAAGTCAGGAAACAATTAAAATGATTAATGTCATTTTCGTCTATTTTCGGAAATACTCGGAATTGCGAAACTTAGAAGTTAAAAATTGCCCCTATTCAACTGACTCACCGTATCTCTGACCGTTTCCGAGACCCTAATGGGGAGAGTCGAATTTGAAACACCCTCTATATGTATACTAACTAAAAGGGAATTAAGTTTTTTCAAGTTGAATATTGTGGAATTTGGATGACAATTACAACGTGTATATTCGATGAACTGAAACATGGAAAAATATAGTCGTTCTCTCAATGACACTGCATTTGTTCAAAAACATATAAAATTCGTTTTACAGGGTTTCTCAATAAGGGTGGGAAGATGTTGAAATGGAATAAGAAAAAGCTGTGTGTGGGGTATTAACAAAAATCTTTTTTTATTTGAAAGGCCCATGTATCCCATGAAGTATGGAATATCACATCGTTCAAATGTCCGCTTCGGCTTCTTACGGTGGCACGGTTTCGAGTGGTCCAATTTTCAATTACTCTTCCGCAAATATCCGGCAGAATTTGAGCGGTCGCCTGAGTTACGTTCACTTTAAGAGCATCAGTTGTTGGACGTTTATTCGCATAGATCTGCGACTTTAAGAAACCCACAAGAAAAATCTAGCGGGGTCAAATCGCATGATCAGTAAGGTTTGACAGATCAACGAAGTAGCACGTGGTGTTTGTCAAAGCTGATACAACACTCAGCCCCTACGCTGAATAGCCTGATGACTTTGTGGATACTTAGTTCTTGATAATTTGTTTGATTCATTTATCCAGTACATACTGTTTATTACATGGTCCAACCACGTAAGTAAACTTACTCTGATAACTGCGTTTTCATGTGTTTTCATGTCTGTTTTCGTAAAAGACTTGTGTGCATTATAAATAATGCATAAATATTCGCAAAAAATGGATTCTTTTTTATATTGCAGCTTTAAGTCTATCATTTCGTTTCAAAAAGGCAATTTTCCTGTTATCTTCGACTTTGATTTTCCAGGTCATTGTTCACGGTAGGAATACACAAATTATTCAACAAGCAACAGCTTTATTAGACTACAATTATTTACAATTGGAGGAACTAAGTAAGAATTAGGAACTTTCATAAAATGTAACAATAAATCGACTTATCATCAACTACTGATTAGTTCTATTAATATAATATGCTTAATTAGTATCGTGAATTGCATTTGAGAAAACTATTGTTACGTATACAGGTCTTTGTCCATTACAACATATCGTACCACCCGTTAAGCCACGTACAGGCTGAAAATCCAACGCCGAGGAAATGAATGTAAGCACATGTGACGTTGGAGTTTGTTGTTGGAAGGTATTGGAATGGGCTCGTCTACAAATAAATTTAGTTTCGAGTTGGACCCCGTTGGGCTAAGTTCGGTGCGAATGTTGTAGAGTCTCCTCTGATCGAATGCAGACAAACGACTAAATACTAGAAGCGGAACAAATCCGTTGGCTTATTTTTTCTCGCGCCGTACACGCCGATTCGAACACCTCCAAATCTGTAACCACAAGTGCCTTGGCTTACGTTGGAATCTCGGTGTGTACGCGGCTTAAGAGCATATGGCAATGGACCTGCGACACGTATGTTGCCCGTTTGATAAGTATTGACAAACGATGTTGAAAGGTCATAGGCATCTATCGTTTTTGTGTTGCAGATAGTTCAAAGGGTGTTTATTACTTTATCATCCTAGTCATGCTCTTTTTTTCTTCCGACTAATCATTTCTCCATTTCATTTTATACTACATTGCTGGGAGATCCGCCACACAAACACGTATCGTACGCGTATGTACCGCGTTACATTATAGTCCATGCTAGATAAAAAAAGGTTAGAACAAGTTTAGCAGATATCTGAAAGTTTTAAATGACAAATATGTTACATAAAAAGATACAGCCAGAATTGCGTTGTTTTATATAAACAATGGGAAAAGCCCAAAATTCAGTATTTTGATTGTATAATTGTCAAATTAAATTTTATAAATAATCGGTAAACTGGAGATCTTAGAGCATAAAAATACCTTCAATTATAATCGATAAAAATTAAGCTAGATACGGGGTTTTTTGGCAATAATTTAGCAAAAAGAATATTATGATACGATCCTAGTATAATACGGTATAGTTGGCAAATATCCTAGTGAAGTAATATTTCTCAAACAATAATTAAGAGATCTTAAACCTAATAGCATATATTATCAGCATCTACTAGCCCTTCTGCCGTGGTTTATTGTTCTTAAAAGCTGCTCCAATGTGTCTTGGTTCGCCAGAAATGCATTTTTCATGTATTGAACCTCCCTGGATAAATTGTTAATTTGTTCACTTTTGTTTTCCAGTTCTTCTCTTAGCATTGTGAATGTGGCGTTATTTTCTATACATTCGGCGTGATCTTGGATTCTATCATCGTTCAACCTGAAAATAAATTAAACTCTAGATCATGAACCAGCGACAGCATTGGTTCTATGTTTTAGAGGTTAGATCCCTTGCCAGTTATTTGTCGATGTTACTTATGAGCCACGTTTTGATGGCCAATATTCTATTCAGAATTTCTTTTAGCAGCCAATCGCCACACTTTTTTAGATGTATAGTAGTATAATAGTTATTTATTATACAACATCAAGCTGAAATCTAGTATTTTACCCGTGTACAAATACACAATTTTTATTAGTAACCAAAGTAGCGTCACAAAAATTATTGCCAGCTAAATCGCTGAAAATTTACGAAACTACGTATTCAATATCCGGGAAAAAAGTAATTTCATAAAAAGTGACATTTTGTTACCTGTCAACAGAGATAAAATGTCAAACTTTTTCCCGTCACAGAAAAAATACCTTTGCACTGCTGGTGACTTGCCACTTTTTTGCAGACCTGACGCTCTGTCACTATAATCGTGAGTTGTTAGTTGCTTTAATTATCATTATTTAAACATTCCTGGGGAACTGATACGGCCAAGCGGTTTTATTGCTCAATTCCGTAGGGCTCTGCCTTTATAGCAGCAGTATCCCCAATATTTTATAATTTTTGCAAATATTTTCTAGAAATTGAACTATCGTTTTATCCAGGTGTGTACTAACCAGAAGTATTCGGTGCTACTTCCTGGAGACAGTGGATGAACAGAATGCTTGTTCTTCAAAGCGATATCAAATGCTCCTTTGATTATCTCCTTTGGTAATCGGTTTTCTCGAGGATTCAGTGGTTTCAGATTGAGTACGACTTTGGATGGGCGCGGGGATACCAGTGCCGTCCAGTGAACTAAGTTGGACAGGTATCTTAACATGAAAAGAGAAATTATCATTACAATGTTATGAACATTTGAAAATTGATTTATTTTAAACTATTATTAGAAGCTCATTTAAATAACACAGTTAAAGCCGTCCTTAAGAATATTCTCGCAATTACAAACCTTTAGAACAGTTAAAAAATTGACGATCAAAACTGACTGTGTGGCCCGGCTAGACCTTCAAGTAGTAATAGTGTTTGGAAGAGCGATTTTATTAGGGCTTCAATATACCAAGTTGATACACCCACTGAATTGCAGCAAAGCCCAAATGGAGGGTAATTTTTTCACAAAAGACACAGAGCCTGCATTGCAGAAAAAGAACGAATTGATTACGTTTTCTCTAAGTATTAATTTTTCCAATAAACGCTCCAAGAAGAGCAAATCACAAATCTACGTTTGTTTGTCCTTTATTTTCTTATGCTTAAAGTAGGAAAGTGCTGTGACCCAGAAAATATTAGAATTTCAATTAACAAGTTTACCTAGGTCCATATCACTTATTTGTGTCGGATTTCAATAGCGTGAAGACATAGAAGGTAATGCTACCAAACTTGATAGTCTTCTAAGTCGATTCAACCACTTTCAATTTCGAAGTTCTTCCTGCTATATTCTGGAGCGCTATAGTAAGAAGTTATATTATCACCTAGCCTTACGATCTAAGAATTCACAATTTACTTATAGTTTGATGTTGACCTGAGGGATTATAGATAATAACACTTTTTTACACACGTTGGGGCTTGTAACGAGGGGCCTCTTACCTTTGATACGGCTGGCACAGTATGAGCAAAGGAACGAAAGCACCCCTATACTTTTATGTGTAAATATATACATCCATAATTCCAGCATTTATTTAGTTCTTGAGGCATAAGCAATAAAGCGTATGAAACATAAGGCCTTAATGGACAAAATGATTTCGTTTTTTTCTTCAAAAAAATATGTTTGCAAAAAATATGGAAAATAAATCGCAGTTTCAAGATAACTTATTTGTTTTTGGAGATACATACAAACATAAAGTCTGAGGACACTACAAAGAATGAGTCACTTCAGAGGATCATATTTTTGTATTTTCTGGAGGTTATCATTTGTTCTTGAAACTAAAGCGTTCACTGCTTTTGTATTTCGAAATATCAAATAACAGAGAAGTACGATGGGCTTGATTTTCCACAAAGCACGTTACATTTTCTCCCAAGAAAAATTTATTTTGGAAAAAATCAAAGCGTATATCTCAAAAAATAAATGAATAATGATTGAGCTACCTATGGTAGGTATGAATAGATCTGATTATCGAAAAGCCTCAAAATACGTTTGTTCCACGAGGCAATATTTTGAGAGCGGCGCTTGAATTAATCATAAGATTTTGTCTACAATCGCAAGTTTTTGCCTTTTTCTACATTATAACCGACAAATTGATAAAAATCCATGTAGATACAGGTGCTTTTGGGTGCGTCAAGTCACCAAGCTGAAATTCGAGGCTCGAGAATTTCAATATGGTTGCATTTTTTAAATATGTTATTGGATATTCCATTTAAAAATTCTTATAATATTATTAAAAATAATAATATTTTATTGCAAATTAATCTAGACGCCACCAAAAGAACAAGATTTGAAGATGATGATGGTAGATTGTTGGGTTATAATCGATTCGATTTACAAAAATGCTCAACTTTGACAGCTACCCCCGCAAAAGATCGCACAAAGTACTCAAAATTGGCAGAATATACAGGGTGTCCTTAATAATATGCGAATATTCAAGGGTGTGAATCTACATGAAAAATTAATGTTAGTTTGCTTTATAAACTATGGTCCAAAAATGGTTCCTTACAAAAACTCGGGGTGTTGAAGTTTTAGGAAAAAAATGGAAATTAATTAATATTTTCAGAACCGCTTCAGATATTTCACTGATATTTGCTACGTAGTGAAAGCCAATAAAGCTGCATATTTTTCAATGTAAGAATAATTTTCGGTTTTTACAGTGGCGTGCGTACGGGTATTGACTTCGATATTTTTCAAGAAAAAAATGGTACGCCAATGGGTTTTTGCCAAATAAAAATTATTTTAGAATTTCTCGTTCAATTTGGAACAGATCTCTCTTGAGTTGCTTTTTGTCGATGCGCCATTTTTGAGTAAAAAAATAAAAACCGTTCTATTGCCCGAGAAAATTAATGTAATAACTGAAGAATGCAATTTAGCAATGAATATCTAGTTGCTTTGGAATATGTCTCTAGCTTTTGACATCTGACAAGTCTCTGTTATTCAAATCTGTTCGCTGTGACATCTTTTTTATTATGTAGTTTTTACAATCTTGCTAATAATGGTGAATTATTCAAATGCAGAAACGGCGTAAATGCATTACGTATATGGCCTTGCCGACGGTAATGGTGAGCAAGCCAGACAGATTTATCACCAGAAATATCCCGATCGTGCTTTGCCAGATAGTCGAACCTTTTCTAATATTCATCGTCGCCTTGCTGAAACTGGTTCTATCCCAAAAGAAACATCTGAAGATATACCTTTAAGTGGGAGAACACCTGAAATTGAGGAAGCAGTGCTAAACAAAGTCAAAGAACATCCTGAAACGAGTACGAGGAAGATCGCTAGACACTTAAATATTTGCCATCAAATTACTTCCCATTGATTTTCCAAGGCGTGTGACCTTTTGTCAGTGGTATCTTCAAAAAATGACGAAAAATCCGCAATTTGAATCAATGATTCTGTTCACGGACGAAGATAATTTTTCTAGAAATGCCATTTTGAATTTCCACAATAATCATTTGTGGGCAGAAGAAAATCCCTATGCCGTAACGGAAACCCATTTCCAACACCAATTTTCGGTTAACGTATGGGCAGGAATTATTGGCAACCTCTTTATTGGCCCATTGTTCTTGCCGGGACGACTTGACGGACAGACTTACCTTAATTTTCTTCAACAGCAGTTGCCTTTGCTGCTTGATGATGTTCCGTTAGTAATAAGACACAATATGTGGTACATGCATGATGGTGCACCAGCGCATTTCAGTGTAGCGGTTCGTAATTATTCACAAACTGTTTATCCAAATCGTTGGATTGGCCGCGGTGGGCCCCAAGAATGGCCACCAAGGTCCCCAGACCTCAACAGTTTAGATTTCTGTTTGTGGGGCTATCTTAAGACACTAGTGTACACAATTCCCATTAACACTGTAGAGGAATTAGGAGAAAGAATAGTTGCAGCTTATGATATAATAAAAAACTCTCCAGTGATATTTCAACGATTGCGCAATTCCATGAGAAGGAGGGCGGAAGCATGCATACTAAGTTAAGGGGGCTATTTTCAACAATTTTTGTAATCATTTGTTAATGTTATGTTTATGTTTTCAGTTGTTATTGTTCATTACCGCTAATGTGTTTAATTTTTCCAATTAAATTAATAATAATTTTGCAAGTTAGACAATAGAACGGTTTTTATTTTTTTTTACTCAAAATTGGCGCATTGAAGGAAAGCAACTCAGTGAGATCATTTGTTTAAAATTGAACGGGGAATTCAAAAATAATTTTTATTTGGCATTGGCGCACCATCTTTTTCTTAAAAATTATCGAATTCAATACGCGTACGCACACCACTGCTAAAAATAAAAATTATTTTTGTATTGAAAAATATGCAACTTCATTAACTTTCTCTACGTGCTAAATATGAGTGAAATATCTGAAGCGGTTCTGAAAATATTAATTAACTTTCATTTTTTTCTAAAACTTCAACACAACGAGTTTTTGTAAGGAAACATTTTTGGACCATAGTTTATAAGGCAAACTAACATTAATTTTTCATGTAGATTCACACCCTAAAATATTCGCATATCATTAAGGAACACCCTGTATAGTTTTGACGATAAATGGGCTACCCCGTATAATAAATACAATGGTCGCAGTCATTACATGAATCTCTATTAATTTAGGCGTTTCAAAAATAAAGTTTCATAGTATGCCAGAGTAAAATTTCATCTGTCAATCTACATTTCATCCGGTTATTGGAAACATTAACATTGCATGAGCAAATACTAGTAATTATACGCCATTTTCTGTCAGTATCCTTACCTTGGCAAGCTGCCGCTGAATAGCGCCAATTCCATATGTGTAATCAATTTAGTCTGCCTGATTAATTTCGACAAACCAGCTGTCTTCTGTAGGCCTTTGATATCATCTACAGCAATGCCTACTAACAGATTCATCAGGATGATGGTCACTGACAATACGAAAATAACGTAGGTAACCTGGGCGCTGACTTCTAGCAGAAAATGTGGGTTTTCAGGGTTGTCGTCCACCAGAATGTCCAGATTTAGCTCCCCTGACATCATCACAATTATGGTAATCAAAGAGATGAATGGGTTGGCAAATGTTGAGGAGTCTGGGAAGATCACGCAGAAGCTGAGAGTGAAGCCTATCAGAAGGCCGGAGTAGGCTAGGAGCAGTTTTCCAAACTCACTTTGCACCCTAGAAGTTATCCAATAAAAATTAATTCGGCGGTAAACGATAAAGTAGTACCATTACAATATTTTATTCTCTAGATCCTCTTGACGAGAAGTTATGGATCATAGGTAAAATTCAAATCAGAATACTATGTTTTTTAGATCTATAGGTCTGTCTGCGGCCTGTGCGATGATGCTAGGCCGCTGTGAAACCCGGATTTTGTTGAAATTTTGATTCAAGATTACTACCAAGCCATGGACGAAGAATCTTTATAGGTTCTGTAAATTGGTCCAGATTCAGAGTTATGAACGAAGAGCGAAGAACTTCATAACGTTACCAAACATTGATATCCAGACTTCATTCAAATGATAGTGAACATTTTTTTTGTTATCGAAGATTAAACATTCTAGACTTTTTTGCAAACCTCTGGTCAAACATTTTTAAATTGGTGTCTCGAATTTCGTTTGCCACTAGCAACGCTGAAAACATTGCTATAGCTAAAATCTTATACTAATGCGTATGGAATAATGCCTCACAATAAACTTGATTACATTTTTCTCAGTGCAATATGCGATTAAAAACTAATGTATTATTTTAGCTTGACTGAGAAATATTACCTAGTGTACATGGCAACGTAAGATCCAAAAACTGGAAGTTGACCAATCATTAGCATCAAATTCGTCCAGCCCAGAAGAACAGCAAAAGCACCAATATGATTCTGCCATGTATATGTTCTACCTGCAAAAAACGCACATTTACATACCGTGCATAAATAAAATGTGGATAGAGCATGACAAAACCACAAGGATCTATTTTTGTATTATACCTAAGAATGTACGAGTACGAAAATGTGTTGCATCATTCATTATTAATACACATAAGGAAATGAGGTATAATCTACAAATACTAAATTTTTATCTTCACTTTTGCGCTCGTGTGGTATTTAAAATTCGAAAGAAAACTTGTTTATCTCCGAAAGAATGAGCTAATAGCATTTGATTTACCCGTAACATGTGACGATATAATGCGTGTCAAACTACTAACGCTTAAGGATAATGGTTATTTACCTCGCATCTGATAAAAGCGATAGAAAAAAAATGTCAGAATTTTGAATATATACAAAACAGATACGTAGTTTTTGATTCTTCAGCAACAAAAATACCTTACTTCCATGGCGTATATACGGGAGGGTGCAGAGTGTAACTTGACTCGTTCTAAAAAGTAGGGGGACCTTCCTGAAAAGCACTATACATGTTTATTTCGTCTCTTTATTCCTAAAGTAGCAGCAGCGTTTGCCATTCTAGGAAGAATCCAGTTCTTTTTATTAGTTTTTCTCATTATATATAGTCCTTGAACTTGAGGTTATCACTTGACAAACAAAAAGCGTCCTAGCGCTCATCCGATCCGGTTTCAAAGGATGGACGAGTTCTGCCAAAGAGCCGCCCATTCCGGCTGGTCGGATTCCAGATTTCAGAGGACTTGATCAGGCACGAACTCGTCTCGTTAATAGCAGCACCTACTGGGAAAAATCTAGGCTATTTGTTTAGGGCTAAGAAGTACTTTTCTCCTATGACTCCTGCCTCTAAGTAAGACCCAGATAAGACCTAGCCTCGAGTAGTGATACTGCCCCCCCGAATACATTATCCATCCCCGATGCTGTTAGAGGAGACTGATCGATGAATCTTCTCTAACAGATAGTCTCTGGATCCTTTCGCACCGGTGGACCGTTGGCGATCTAGTGCTCTTCTACCGTCACACCGCAGGGCTTTGCTGTGATTGCCAGGCAGACCTGCTTCCGATTCTAACCGTGTCGAACTCCGTACATCCAGAACTGGCCGATATGGCCTCTCCTTTGTCCCTAGGCCGATGAGATTGTGGAGCAACCTACAAGAGGTGGCTTATCCCAGATCTACTAACCTTAGGCAGTTCAAAAGTTGGATTAACAAAGTTTATTTGGGATCTTCATAGCAGCCGCGGTGCCCTGACATTTAGGCTTCTACCTGCGAGGCTGCTTCGGTGTAAAAAAACGGTGCAAAAACGTTTTTCTGGTGCAAAAACTTTGTTCTATCTAGACGCATAATCACGGGCGTGAAATATATCTAAGCTACCATTCGGTATATCTATAGCTCGCTTACCTGTGTATATAAAAGAAATCACAAAAACGCTGATCACCACCGACCACTCAATAATATTCTCGGCGTAAGAGAAGTACTGCTTGACACTGTCGTATCCGCTCATCCCGTACACCTTGCGCACTATCTCGCAAGCAGTGATGCCCACCAAAACGAACCATTGCATCTCAATTACGAAGGGATTGTCCCTCAGCAGCTGTCCCATTATGGATTTCTTCTCGCAAAGCTCAATGATATCCTCAGGCTTCATCTCTTTGAAGTTCTTTCCATAGTTGTAACAATGGTGGGCCAGAGCTGTCAGGACATAGAGGGAAAGGCTCAGGACCAAGATGCAGGAAAATACTACTCGAGCTATATAGTACTTTCGGATTTTCTCCCATTTGAGGTACAGTAGTGCGGAGCAGAGGGGGTGGAGGAGCACCTTCTTGTAACCTTCGTCCACCTAGAACCAATAAATTGTTAAAATCCCTGTAAACGGAATGAAGGAGATGCGAGTAAAATCCAGCCGGAGCATTTTTTTCTTTTTCTTAAGTTGTTGCTCGCTGTTACGGATGCGCTCGCACGGTGGTACCGTGGTAAGGGCCCACGAGGCGGCATGGTGCAACAAGAAAGCGATTGGAAATAGCTTCCGGTTTGTTTCACTTGAATGCCACCAGATGGGGCATCAAGCAGCTTGAAAGAACAAAGGAACACTGGCGTGGATAGGAATGAATGCTTTTAACAGTAGATTTCGAAAGCTGGCTGGCAGCTAGTGCTATAGAATAGTTGGACAAGTCGGCTCCTAGAGCTGCTGGTTTGAACATCACCGGCGCCCATTTTTCCTTCTCTCAAGTTGTTGTTTTATAAATTAAAAAGCCTATTTCTCAACAAACATTTTACTTTATAGTTACGATATAACCATATTTCTCAACAATCAGTTTAAGTTCTAATTACGTTAATTCAACCATAAAATAGGTCATTAGTAAACGAAAAATCTAGGATTCTTTTGTAAAATATGGCTACTGGTAACAAGATAATCTCAAATTAAATGAACGCTTCGTCTTCGGGCTCGAATCGTTAACTATATACAAAATGACGTGTTTCTACCAGCGTGCTGAAAGTGTCACCTCGTGCAGCATTTCATTTTATAAACGGTAACTTTTTCAAAAAAAAAATAAGGTTAGTTAGGAAAAATTGGATCTATAGAAGAATGCGTGACATTATTTTTTTGCTCCCATCATCCGTGTGATTGGGTACTTATTTGGGACACCCCGTACACTGTACAAGATACTACAGTATATTCAGATAAGAGATAGACCGGATGTAAACAAAAGGTTCGGGTGATTTTCACGCTAACGCCGCCGTCTCGACGTAAAACAGGAGCCCTCATTGGTCAATTCGCAATTAAATGCCTATGCCGAGCGGCAGAGCAGTCGTATCAAGGCAGAGTCACATTCAGGTTCAGACGTGTTACGTATGTCGTGTGCATCATTGCAATTTGATATTTCTTTGGACGTTTTCGTTTGTTATCTTATTAAGTTGTTGAGTTTGTCGTTGTTATTGTTATACCTTGTTATTGATTGTTATTGTTATCAACTGCTTGCGCAAAATGCCCAGTAGTACAGATACTGCCGATGAAGTTGTAAACTCCTGTAGTCCACCTAGGAAACGCTCTAAAAAAAGACACCTGAGTGCAGAAATGAAAGAGGTCATTTTGAATATATATAAGACCGAGCGCGAGGAGAACGAGGCATCAACCATCAAAGAAATTGTTGTGAAGGTTTCTCACAAAGTTGGGGTGTGTCGCGCATCAGTGTTTAATGTGTTAAGACAATACAAAAAAATCACACCTTTTCTGAGCCAATGACCAGTAAACATCGCAAAAGTATTGTTAAATCATTGGATGAAGCTGATAAGCATGCGATTAGGAGGAAAGTGCATGAATTCTTCTTTAGGAATGAAATACCTACTACAGATAAAGTACTGCAGGAGGTAAATGGAGATACAACGTTGCCAAATTTCAAACGATCAACTTTCCATGCGTTACTGAAGCATTTAAATTTCAAATGGAAAAAACGGGGTCGTAATAGTTTACTACTGGATAGTGAAGAAATTGTGCTATGGAGGAGGGATTATTTAACAAAAATTGGGAAATATAGAAATCAAAACAGGAAGATTTATTACCTTGATGAAACGTGGGTAAACGCAGGACACACTACAAGTAAAGTATGGGTTGATGATTCTGTAACTTCATCCAGGAGGGCCTTTCTAGATGGACTGTCCACCGGATTAAAAAATCCAGCAGGTAAATACGAGTAATAGACAACAATCGGATGTTTTTCAAACCTTGGGAACAAGGTTCTAAACATTAATTCCAGGGGGCAGATAAAACATATTACAAGTAACAAAACTTTTATAACTTTCGATAAAATGCGTGGATGTTTTATTGTCATTTTCATTTGTTAGAACTTTTTTAAGCCATGTTTTTATGTGTTTTCGATATTTCAATAATTTTTTAATATAATCTTAAAATATGTCGAATATTATAAACTTAAAAAAGTTACTAAGTTTTATATTGTGTACCGTTCCTAATATTTCTAATCACTTTAAGCTTTATAAAGTTATAATTTGTTAATATTAATATTTGCGCGTATTTCAGGTTCCTGATCATTCATTTTTTAAAGGTTTTAACTTTAAATTAAATTGTGAAGCGCTGAGTAATCATACGACGTTCAATATTCTTTCTTTCAATATGACTAAATAATCCCAATTATAGCAATCTGATACTCATGTCTCAATGTTTTTTCGCTGAATGTGATGAAAACATTTGAAAAAGGTTCGCTTATTGAAATAAATCTACACCAGTTAGTACTTCGATTTCCAGGTAAAGGGAAAAGGCTCATTATCTGCCATATTGGCAGTGAGGATGGATTTGTTGTTGACGGTCTGTGGTGCTTTGAGTCTAAGAACACTGGAGATTACCACGAGGAAATGAATAGCGAATCGTTTGAACAGTGGTTTTCAAAAATTTTACCGAACTTAGAGGAAAACGCAGTAATTGTGTTGGATAATGCGCCTTATCATTCTCGAAGAATGGAGAAGGTCCCAACAACGGCTTCAAGGAAAGTTGATGTTCAAAATTGGCTCCGCTCGAAAAATATCAACTTTGAAGAAGCAATGCTGAAAGTACAATTATCAAGAATTGTCAAGGATCACAAGGCGGAATATCAAAAATACGCCATTGACGAAATGGCAGCAAGTCAAAATAAAACTGTGCTCCGTTTACCTCCATACCATTGCGAGCTCAATCCCATTGAGCTCATATGGGCAGAGGTTAAAAATTATATAGCTAAGCACAATACAACTTTTAAATTTTGTGACCTCAAAGGACTTTTCAAAGAAGCACTAGAATTAATAACAGCGCAAAAATGGGAAAACTGTATTAAGCACGTGAAAGACAAAGTTGAAAAGAGAATGTGGGAACTGGACAATATTTTAGAGGAACAAGTCGAGCCATTCATTATTGACGTTGGTGCTTCAGGCAGTAGCGATGATGAAAGCTCATCAAGCTCATCTTTCCAATAAAAGATGTCGTTCATCAAATTCGGTAAGTTATAAGTAATTATAAAGCTACTGTATTTTTTAATTAATTATTGACATTTTTGAACCCATTTTGGCAAAACCTATTCAAGAATCTACTTTCTGACAATGTTCAACCATGCACATTTTTTTACGTTTTGAACGTTTTAATTTGGTTACATATTTACCCAGGAATCAAAAAATTTACTAATCAATATTCTAAAAGCAATTTTAAGAGATATACGATTATTTTTAATTTAGGCTAATTTAAACGCCATTTTGAGATTATATTCGACTGTATTTCACCAAACATCAGGCGGCATCCGAAGCTGGAAATCGAAGCGAAAATTTTTAAACCCTTATGTATATTTACATCATTATATATTTCTTACCCCACCCCCACATGATCCAATATCCATCACCAATCGTATACACATCGAATTGTGCTAATTTACTACAAAGTTACGCAAAGCAGCATCTACTATCTAAAATATGTACTGCGTGACTCTTAATACGTCCCTGCCGAATGTTACAGCGTTCGATGATCACGTGGTCTTGTTTATGTCCGGTCTATCTCTTATCTGAATATACTGTAGCTGTCGATTCGATACCAAGAGGGTATTACACCAGATGTTGGGAGAAATTGAATATTAAGATTATTATGAGAACCACTTTTTTCCAAGCAATATTAGCCAGAAAAAATATTTTCCAGCTTTTGTAAACTTTGGAACATTTACACTTATTATTATATTAAAAAAACCTTTTTTTTAAAAGCGCAAGGCTACAGTTTACTTACAAGAGTATTTAGAAATATAATTTCCTTAGGATGACAGTACTGCAGTATCACCCTAAAATCCAATCTTAGTTCTATCTCGTGATTAGATGATTCCGGCTGATGCAGTGTGATGGCAGAATCCAGTTTCTTTTTGAACATGGAAAACGACGCCGGAACCTTCTTCGTGATGATACTTAATGCCGTCATTCCAGATTTAGTCCTAGCTGTGACGTCTGCTCCAAAATATATCAAGGTCTCTACGCATTGAGAGAGACCTTTCAAAGCAGCTATATGGAGCGGTGTGTACCTATAAATAAGCAAAAGAAATGGTGCTCTATACGTATAGTGTGAACTGATAAAGATATATTTTTATAATACGGTGGTGAATCAAGTCATACTTGACTTTTCTGTTTAACGCGCCATAGGTGAATGGAGAGGGGCGACGTCCTGGTATATGTTGGGTCAGTACCGGATGCTCCGCTGTTCAATTTTTGTCCGCCGGCGCGCATGACGTCTCGCTGAGAGTGATTTTCATTTGAGTTGATATATTTTCATGTACAGGCCAAATGGCTGGACGGATTTTCACATATGAAGTGCCATTGGATTCGTCTTAGCGGTGCAAGTCCCCCACATCACGATACACATACACTGAAGATAGGATGTTGCGCATGCTAATGCTGCTTCCTACTGCCAACTGCTTGAAGAAGTGAAACTGGCCTATCGGCGAAAAAGGCGAGAAATGCCTATTGGAACCGCCATTCTGCTCCATGACAACGCTCGGCAATACATAGCCGCATTGACCCAAGACAAATTACGAGAAACTCATTGGGACACACTAGAACATCCGCCTTACAGTCCCGATTTGTCGCCATGTGACTTTCACATGTCTGGGCCGCTTAAAGATGACCTGGGAGGTCACCACCTTGACAACGACGAAGGTGTGGAAACGTTCATCAACAATTGGCTACTGACACGACCAGCTTCATTCTTTGATAGGGGGATTAAAAAGCTTCCGATCCGATGGGAGAAAGGGCATCAATAAGAGAGGAGATTATGTAGAAACGTAAGATGTAAATGAACTTGTATTTACTAAACCAATAAAATTTTTAAAACAAAAGTCCGGTTCATGTTTGATTCACCATCGTATAATGGACTTGGTTTAACTAATGTCTACCATAAACAGAAAACTATGAAAGTGTATCCTGAAGTACAATCATCACTGATCAAATATGGGTCAACCCTCTGTTGCGTGATTCAGTGGACTACACAGTCGAGCAAGTTCGCAAGCACAAAAGGCCGCGGCTCGCACTGTAATCAAAATTAACTCGTGAACTTAGAACAACCAAAATTTGAGCATTTCACACAATCTTTAGAAAAAAAAAATCAAATATTTTTAGACCATATCAAAATCTGTGAAGCGATTTTAACAATGCCTAAACGCTGCATATCCTAAAAGATTCTCTTCTTCCCCTTTGCTCTCGTTCTTCCTTCTCTCCTTTCCTTCCCCTTTTTTCCTTAAAATTGTCTGGTTTCTGGGTTACCAGACCTGACAGACTTACAAACTGACACTGTGACTCAAGAGCTAAGGTCCCACGGACCGCTCTGACAACCAACGATGACTTGACGTTAGACGGTACTGACATAGATTCTTGAAATTCAGTTTTGACATAAATAAGATCTTCATTTATAATCTTGTATGGATACTCGTATTTTATGTATGGTACTGGAACCCGAAGCAATGAATAAGTAAGTTTTAAATATAATGCAAATTTCTTTCAGCCCCCTCCCCACGATGTTAAATTCTACAACCGACACTGGATGGATCAGAAGACTTTTATCAATTCCTACTATAGAGAAAACTTCAATGAAAGGAGTACAGTCGTAGATTCAATATCCTTAGGGCATTTTTACTTGATATACTGACCCGTACTGATCCTTGATGTTTTTGCTAGCTCCGTATTTGACCAAAACTTCGATGATGTCACTCGACCTCGGTGATGTGCCAACGGCAGCATGCAGCGGTGTTCTCTTGTCACAATCTTCAATATTGGGATTGGCATTACCTTCAAGTTGTGAAATCAAATACTGATCAAGTAAAATATGGAATATGAATTTCTTTAATGCAGAGAATCTTCATATCTATATGACTTTGCTTATTAGCTACCTTACATTTTTATTGATGTTAAATTAAAATTCGTAAAGCATTGCATCTATACCACAAAAGTGAACTACCCGTATGCCTCATCGTTTCATTCTTATTGAGGATCATCAACCCGGTCCAGGTGGGATGAGGAACGAAAATAGAGTAATACGTTGTGTGTATCACATTACCTTTTGTCAACAAAAGATGAACACACTCGTATGATTGGGCTCTGGCTGCCAAATGCAGAGACGTTTGGCCCATGTGGTTTTTCAAATTCGGATTGGCTCCTTTGCCGAGTAAGAATTCGACGCAGTCTTGGTAGCCTCTCATTGATGCCAAATGTAACGGAGTTTGGTCCTTGTCCTTACTTTTGGTGTTTACGTTAACTCCCTTAAACAGAGTTGCTATGATAGATCGAAGTTTCTATTTTGATGTACAGTTGAACCTCTATAACTCGAACTTGAAGAGACAGCCAAAAAAGTTCGACATATAGAGAGCTCCAGTTAGAGAAAAGCCACACTGTATGTATGTACCTACATACATATGTACATACATATTCGAAAACATATTTTTTATTATTATATGTACATACAAAATAACATATGTATTAAAAAACTAAACTACATAGTAAGAAGCGTTAAACTAAGAAAAAAGTCTCTACTAACTTGAAATGTACGAGTATGTATTAAAAAAACTTCAAAAATAATCAGTGATTAAACTTTGACTGATTATTTTTTTGGGCGGTAAGATTCATATTTTTGTCCAATTTGGCAGATTAAAGTAAAGTCGTCATTAGTTGCAGCCTCATTCATTGAAAAGGCAAGTTGGATGGATTCAATTGCCTTTAAAACTTCAGCGTCAGAAGGTTTCTCTCTTGGAGTTCCTTCACTGTCATCTTCATCATCAGATCTGTTCTCCAATTCATCCTCGATGTGATCCTGTTTTTTGCTTACACTTTCCAATATTTCGTCTTCTGTAGGAATTTTGCTTGCGATTAGATCCCCGTCTACATTTACAAATTCATCCAAAGAGACCTTATCATTAGCATTCAAAATATCTAACCATGCGTTCCAAACCCAGCTTTTCTGAAGTTTTAAATAGTCGCCTGGGTTACAGCTACCTCCCATACTGTTGCCGAAATATGAATGCAATCCAAGAGATCAATTTTAGGGATTGTGGTATTGATTTCGAATCCGTCTAGTATTTTTTTCATGATTCTACGTTTATAATGAAATTTAAATTTTTTTATAATGCCCTGATCTGGAGGCTGCAGTTTGGATGTCATATTTGGTGGAAGGAAAATCAACTTTATTGCCTTTAATCGATGGCACAGAACAGTTGTCAATCAGAAACAAAACCTTACGGTTTTGAAGTAGAAACTGTTTGTGCTGGTCCAACAGCCACTTTGAAAAAATGTCACTCGTCATCTATGCCTTTTTATTGTTGTGGTAAGTAAGTCAGCGGTAAATTTTTAACTCATCAAAAGCATCGTGGTTTTGCGGTTTTTCCTATTAGGACAAGTCATAATTGTTGTTGAATGAAAGGCTCATCATTTCCTGAGACAACTTTCTTCCGTGACATTTTTTCAGATTTGAATCTTAAGGTTTTGTCTGGTAAACATTTAAAAAATAAACCACTCTTATCTGCGTTAAAAATATCGTCTGTTTTGTAGGTGGCTAAAAGAGCCGGAAGGGTATCTTTGATCCAGTTATCACACTTTTTGTGACCCAAGGTAGCACTTTCACCGCATGTTTTTTTTGTAATACGCCATGCCATGTCTAAAGTTAAAAAAATAACATCTAAACAAAAACACAACAAAAAAGACACAAGAACATGTTACCTCTTTTTAAATTTTTCCAGCCATTTCGAGCTTGCTTCCATCTCCCATTATTTTGGAAAAATCCAATGTCTTTTGTTGCAAAATGGGCCCCGAGATGGGCAAATTTGCTTTTTGTGAAGTTTCAAACCACTTAGTGTTTACAATCTTCGAAGGTTTGTTCCGCTTTACTTCACCTGGGTTAGCTACTTCGGAACCAAACTGCACTATAGTCTTTTTGTTTGTCATTATAGTGGATAACGTACTTTTCGGAATACCATATTATTGGCAAATAATCTTTCTTTGAAAACCATTCTCCACTTTTTTTTATGCTTTTTACCTTGAAATTTTATCCGCAGTATTTCACACTTGTTTAGGGGAATCCCATAATACTCGTATCACACAATCGCCGCTGACACCCGATGAAATTCATCGAATCTATTTCAAAGTGGGCCGTGCCGCCACGATAAGACGTCAAAGCTTAACTTTAATCGCATTCTTCGAAAGTTCGACTTATAGATTTTTACTTTGACATGACGTAGATTTGGACTCCAGTAGAGGTGTTCGAGTTATAGAAATTCGAGTTATACATGTTAAAATACATGGAAATCTTGGAAAGTGTACATGGACCACTAAAAAAGGTCCAGTTAAAGAGAGGTTCGGGTTATAGAGGTTCGACTGTATATCATTTATACTAAGTGACATATAAATGCGAACACCCAGTTTAAATGGTTTTATTTTAATAAAAGTTGGTGAATGTATTTATCTTACTGTAAATAACAAGTGAAAAAATTTTCAGCCTTATCAGTTGGACATTCCGGTTTTTATACTGCTTTTTTTTAATTCACTAACGCTCTAAAAATGAATATTTCAGCCGCAGTAAAGAATCAACGTTGGCGGATTTTGGTTCTTGACATCCTTTACGATCGGTTACGATGCCTAGAGTACGGAGACCTGTACGATTTCGTCAACTTAGTGAGTTTGATAGGGGCCGTATAGTGGGACTTCGGGAAGCTGGACTTTCTTTTCGGGCAATTGCAGTTAGAGTGCAAAGAAGTGTAGACACTGTGGTTAGGTGTTGTCAGTCATGGCTTCGAGAAGGCCGTACGCAAAGAGCAAGGGGCACTGGACGCCGCTGTAGAACAACAGACCGTGAAGATCGCCGCCTAAGATTATTGGCCTTAAGGGATCGTTTCTCCACTACCAGGTCCATTGCAAATGAATGGTTTGCAGAACACGGAAGACCTATTGGCATGCGAAGTATTACCGACGAATGAGAAGTTTTGGCTTGTTTTTATACCGGCCACACTGGGTCCTCCCTTTAACTCGAGAACACCGACGTAATCGCCTTGAGTGGTGCAGACAACGGTCACTCTGGGATCAGGAATGGAACAGTATTGTCTTTAGTGACGAGTCTCGATTTTGTTTAGGCATGCTCGATGGTCGTGCCAGGGTTAGAAGGCGACGTGGTGAAAGGAGGAATCCACAGTTTTTTGTTGAAAGACATGTTCATCACACTGTTGGAGTTATGGTTTGGGGTGCTATAGCTTATGGTTCCAGGTCACCTTTAATCTTCATCAGAGGTAACATGAACGCGCAGTGTTATATCCACGAAGTTCTAGAACCCCATCTTTTACCCTATCTTGACACGCTGGCAGATCCAACTTTCCAACAAGATAATGCCCGACCACATGTTGCAAGAGTCACAATAGACTTCTTTCAACGTAATGATGTCACATTGTTACCATGGCCACCAAGATCTCCCGACTTATCCCCAATTGAGCACGTGTGGGATATGATGGGTAGGAGATTGCTCAATTTGCAACGTCCTCCTCAGACTCTAGAAGCACTTCGAGAGGAGTTGGTGGTTGCCTGGAATGAGATACGTCAGGAGGACATTGACCACCTGATCAGAAGCATGCCTAGGCGCGTTGGAGAACGCGTAGCACATCAGAGTGCATCCACACATTATTAAAGGTCAAAGGGCTTTAAAGCAGTGCAATCATTTTGAAATTTTTATCATTTACTTATTATGCTTCATTAAGTACTTATACAAAATTTTATTAAAATAAAACCATTTAAACTGGGTGTTCGGATTTATATGTCACTTAGTATACTTGCATGCACCATCATAAGGAAGTATTTTATCGTTTGTAATGGGACAAATAATAATAAAAGAATATTTCTTTTAGTTGTTTGCTTAGTAATTGTTTGGATCTCTTGACAGCCCCAGAAAATATTCGGACAACAAAAGATAAAATTCTTGTATTTGCTAACACTGAGATTTAAAGTCGAGAATTACAAACTTTACCAAGACAAGATCTTCATCTCGTCCAGGAGAGTATTTTCTCTTACCTTTGGTTCAAGTAGGCATTGAAGACAAGTCGTGTATCCAAAATCAGCTGCTAGATGTATTGGAGATAATCCAGAAAATTCTAGTTGTCCAACATCAGCTCCTTCATTGACTAAGACTCTTACACAAGATGTTGAGTTAGCCCTGACAGCACAGTGTAGTGCGCTTTCGTTACGATGGTCCAAACTTTTAGTTAACTCCTGAAATTAATATCAACTTGAACAAAAGTAATAACAAGTTGTGATTTGGCACCTTTCCTACCAGTCGGTGCAGTGTGACACAGATAGTACTGCCATGCAACAACAGAGACGAAAATGAAATTTTTGCATTGGAAGTTTGAAGGAAAGTTTTCGAAAGTTCTTGCGCATGTGTAATCTCAACCTTTTTTGCGAGAATAGTGTTTCGCTGCACTAGCACTAGCATTTTAGTAGCGATATTCGAACGACAAATTGGTTAAGGCTTTCGCGGCCAGTTGATAAACTGCTGTCTTGATTCGGGTCTAAAGGCCGTCGTCGGTTGGAATTTCTTCCTAACGTTTCGCTAGCACGAGTGGCAAGCTTCTTCAGAGGTCCTTCCATTTCCGATGCTGGATGAATTTGTCAGACGCCTCCACGGGGAGGAGACATGTAAGCAGTATCAACAACTGGATAAATTCAGAAAACAGAAGGCACACTTACTCGCCACCTTGGCTTTTCTGTGCCGCTGCCGGGACGCCAACATCGTTCCAGCTTTCCTTAGACAGAGATGAATTCTCCAATCAGCGCAAGCTAAAAGGATCTACGCCAGGACTGAGAAAGCCTTCCTTAGAGAACGGATCCACTATACTCAACATAGCCTAGCGACGACGGACGTGAAACTCCTTGGCCTGCACTTGACTTTGAGCAACAGGATCGAGCGACAGGATTGGGACAAAATAGACGCAATATCGCATTCCAACATGAGAAACCAACTGGACCGTCTCAAGGAGCAGCAGATTAGAAAATACGAGAAGTTTCAGAGAAGGCAAACACCCCAGACAGCAAGCATTGACCATCAGCGACTCGTGGTGAATCTAACGGATAGGGTACTTGCTGAGGATGAAAAATCAGCATTATCCAATGAGGTAATTTTGCAATCACGCCCCACCGCATTCCGGTTGAAGACATTATCTCCAGTACGGAGGCAGCCATTATACATCTACCGGACGAGGCCGCCGAGGAGATACGAATGGAGCCAACATTCTTAGAAGGGCGAAACCACCAAAAAGCAACCTGACGAGGAGTGAAGGTCTGGCACTACGGAACTTGAATAACGACGAGGATATCATTATACTCTCAGCCGACAAAGGCAATGCAACCGTTCTTCTGAAGACCGAGGACTACAAAAGGAAGATTATTGAACTTCTAGACCCATAAAATTCCAGCCACTGAAGAAGAATCCAACGCAAGCCCGACTACGCCTTACCAACCGGCTCATCAAGCTATCATCACTGCCAGAAAATACCAAGAAGAGCGTTGCGAGGACGGAAGCGGTTCCACCAAGGCTCTACGGTCTGCCCAAGATCCACAAGGCAGATGTTCCGTTGAGACCAATAGTCAGTGCTCCCGGATCGCCGACGTACTACTTATCGAAACACTTGGCATTCTTGCTGCAACCATACGTGGGAAAGAGTACCGTTACATCAAGGATTCCACCAACTTTGTGAGCCAAGATTGAGGACATCGTAGTTGACATCCTTGTGAGCTTCGATGTCGTCTCCCTTTTCACCAAGGTACCGCTGAGGGAATGCCTGGATCTGGCGAGCAGGATCTTCCCTTCTGACATCTGCAAGCTTTTTGAAATCTGTCTCACTGGAAGCTACTTCTTATGGGATGGGGGCTTTTATGAGCAGATAGACGGAGTGGCAACGGGAAGTCCACTTAGCCCAGTCATAGCCAACCTTTTTATGGAACACTTTGAGAAGAAGGCGGTTGAGACATCAGAGAACAAACCAGCAATTTGGTTCCGCTACGTGGACGACACCTTCGTGATGTGGAAACATGGCACGGATATGCTAAACGAGTTTCTCCAGCACCTCAGCGATCGGCATCCAAGCATACAATTTACCATGGAGATAGAGAGTGACCAACAACTGGCCTTCTTGGACATACTAGTCAGGAAGCGAGGTAAAAAGCCGGGTCGCACAGTGTACAGGAAACCAACGCACATAGACAGATACCAGCACGCTTTGTCCAATCATCACCCAAGTCAGAAGTATGGAGTCATCAGAACCCTGACAGAACGAGCTCGAAAGATTTGCGAACCGTAGAACCTCCAGACAGAACTTGAACACCTGAAAACTGCGTTCGAAGCAAATGGCTACAGTAAGAGGGACATCGAAAGATCAATGGGCTCGAGATCAGCCAGGCCACGTGAAACGGAACAGCGTACCACTACCTCTCAAGCGTATCTTCCATTTGTGCCAAGAGTCACGGACAGGATTGGCAGAGTCCTGAAGAGACATGACATTAAAACAATCTTCAAGCCTACGAAGAAGATCCATCAAACCATCAGATCGGCAAAGGACAAGAAGGACCCACTCTTAGCTGCTGGAGTCTACCGCATACCGTGTCCATGCGGCAAAGTATACATTGGAACCACGAAAAGATCAATGGTAACGAGACTCAAGGAGCACAAACCAAATTGCCGGCTAGGACAAACTGAGAAGTCTGCGGTAGCTGAACATGCACTGAGCAATGTGGACCACAGGATACACTTTGGGAGTTGCAGGTTGCTGTCATCAGTCAACGGCTATCACAATAGACTGATCAGGGACGCTATCGAGATTCACAAACATCCAGATAACTTCAACGGGCTCAGACTCAACCTGATCTGGCACCCGATCCTCAGAAACGCCCGAGCAGTTCCGATCGACATCCCGAAGTCAACCGAAGCGGAACAAGCCACGTTCCTTACCCTCCGGTATAAATACAACCTGCGCAAGAGAAATCGTCAGTATGAAGAAGCTTGGAATGCGATATTGCGTCCTGTTGCTCAAATTAAAGTGCAGGCCAAGGAGTTTCTCGTCCGTCCTCGCTAGGCTGTGTCGAGTATAGTGGATCCGTTCTCTAAGAAAGGCTTTTTCAGTCCTGGCGTAGATCCTCTTAGGTTGCGCTGATTGGAGAATTCGTCTCTGTCTAAGGAAAGCTGAAACGATGTTGGTGTCCCGGCAGCGGCACAGAAAAGCCAAGGTGGCGAGTAAGTGTGCCTTCTGTTTTCTGAATTTATCCAGTTGTTGATACTGCTTACATGTCTCCTCCCCGTAGAGGCGTCTGACAAATTCATCCAGCATCGGGAATGGAAGGACCTCTGAAGAAGCTTGCCACTCGTGCTAGCGAAACGTTAGGAAGAAATTCCAACCGACGACGGCATTCAGACCCGAATCAAGACAGCAGCGATAGTCGAAGTCAGCATCTTAAGTTACCCCAGTATACCTGTATATTTCCCCCAGTTGATACACCAAAAAACCCGGAGCCGCAAGGAAAGTGTGAAATCGGATATAGTTAAGTGGTATAGCCATGAAAAATGCTGCAGCGGGCATTTGTATTGCGACTATGACTGTACTTATCACGTATTTATTCCGATTGTTCACTATATTGTAATTAATGGTGTGTTAACCAGTTAAGTGAGCATTGCAAGTTTTATCATTAGCCCAGTTGGTTCAGACCGTGCATGGAAAATGTTGTTTTGAGACTAATTGAGTCAGAGTTGTAGGTAATCTGGAACTACCTTCTGATGATTTAATAGAAAAATTAATACCTCCACATTCTTGGAAAGAACGTAGTTAGTAAAGTGAAATTCAGGCCAATGAAATTGTTGCATGAATACTATAGTATACTGAGAATGGTCGTTGAAAACTTCAAGATGGTGGGACGTGGTCATCTTCGAAAAATGTTTTCAAGTGAAATGTCGTATCTTTCGAAAAGACTCCTTTTGTGAGCTGAATTGCTTGTAGCTCGAAAATCACTCATCAAAACACCATAGTACAAATGAACCACCGTCTGCTTATAAAACTATCTCTGAATGCGCAACAGTAAAGTACTAACAAGGAGCTTAAAATTAATCCTCATTCTATTAAAAAAAATCAAGATGGCGCCCAACCGTTAACTCGATGTTTTATTTACCTTCAAATATTGTTTCTATACATCAGTTTCATTACCCCGAATTTTAGATTCCTAACTAGGCCCATTCTAAGAACAAGTAGAGGGCTTTATGGAAAGCACTGTATGTGAATATCTTAAAAAAGAAAATGTGCCGGCTTCCGATAGAACAATAACAAAAATGGTACACGAACTCATGAATGAAAGTTTCGGGAACAACAATTTATGGTATTGTTAAAGGAGGCAAAACGGAAGAAAGATTTAAAACTTCGGTAATGGTGATAAAGACTTGCAAACCATGGTTGCTACAAGCCATTCTAGTTTTCGTAGAACAAGGTTACGAAAATAACTACCGAAGGGCATGTTTGAAGACACTTTTTTGCTTAATACGTTTCAGTTATATGTTTTCTGTTCTCTGTTCTGATAAACAAAAAGATACAAAGTAAAGACATGGACCTAAAAAAATCGATCACATTTTTTGGTACGTTCCCAGTTAATAAAAGATTATAAATGGGCTCATTCAACTATTTAATTAAACAAACGTGAAAACATGAAATACTCAAATGCATATCTAAAGAGGTACTGAAATACTAGTAGAGGTCATCAAAAACCATTAATGGTTATCAAAAACACTTGCAGATCTTGCTCAGATTGTTAGAAGACCTCAAAAGGCCAATTTTTGCAATCTAAATAAGGCTTCGCGATAAGTCAGCATTTTTTTATGACTGTATTCGAAATCAGCTTACTAAATTATTTCGGTGTATCGAATTATGGTTGCTTGTAACTACTAGAGACAAACACACAAATTTTGCATTGATGAAGTGAATACCAATGTTTTGATTATTTTAGGAATTTTATTTTACCTGTATATTTGCACCATGATGTAACAAGATGAGCAACGTGTCCGGACTATCGCCAAATGCTGCACAGTGTAAAGGGGTGTAAAACCTGTACAGAGCGTTCACGTCGCACCCTTGAGATATGAGGAATTGCACTCCTATAGAAAATAATGTCAGATTACACCCTAAACATTATCCAAACAAGATTTTCAACGTATGTTACCGTGCTAGCACAAGCAAGTGGGTACGATTCATACAGTAAAAGCCGGAAATATGTCAAAAGCAATATTGTCAATATCAAGTACAGGGTGCGGCAGAGAGGACGGACGTTTTTGGGATGAGTGGTACTCTACGCCTCCGTCTACGAGAGAGGTGGGGAGGGTGCCGTTTGACTCGTGAGATCCTAGCATTATTTTACCACTTGTCATTATGATTGTTTCGTCCGAACTAATGAGTCAGTCATCGTCGTACAGCGTGAGTTTCGTCGCCACTTCAACATTCATCGGAATAGAGCTGTTCCCTCTCGAAACACCATCCATCGTTGGGTTGAATCACTTCGCAGGCGTGGTGAACTGATCGACAGAAGACCAAGAGCGCCGCGAACAGTTCGAACTCCTGAAATTGTTGAACGCGTTCGACAGGTCTTTCTTCGCAGTCCGACTCGATCTGTCCGGAGACATGCTGCTGCACTTCGCGTTAGTGATCGTTCGGTAAGGCGAATTTTGCATATGGATATCCGCTTTCATCCCTACAAATTGGCCATTGTGCAACAGTTACAGCCCGGAGACTATGCACAACGAATGAACTTCGCACCTGAGATGGAAGCACTGATCGATCAAAATCAGAACCTCATTTTGTTTATGAGTGACGAAGCCCACTTTCACCTAAACAGAATGGTTAACCAGCAGAATTGTCGTTATTGGGCTAATGAAAATCCGCAACAGTTACACGAAAGACCGCTGCACAGCCCAAAAGTAACGGTTTGGTGCGCTGTATCGCAAACTTGCATCATTCGCCCTTACTTCTTCGAAGACGGTAATGGTCGTGATGTTACCGTGAACTCAGAGCGCTACGTCGACATGATCACCAACTTCTTTCTCCCTGAATTACGACGGCGACATGTTCCAATCCGACGTGTGTGGTTCCAGCAGGATGGGGCGACCGCCCACACAGCCCGAGCATCCATGGACGTTATTCGCCTTCTCTTCCCTGGTCGCCTTATTTCCAGGTTTGGCGATGTTCATTGGCCTCCTCGGTCCCCAGATTTATCCATATGCGATTTTTTCTTATGGGGACACCTCAAGGCTAGAGTATACGCGAACAAGGCCCGAACTCTGGACGAATTGAAGTGCGAAATTCGCGTGGAAGTCGCCCAAGTTGAGAGAGCGATGTTGGAGAGAGTCTACGCGAACTTCCAAGAACGCCTCCAGCACTGCATCAACGATTTCGGCCACCACATGCCTGATGTGATTTTCCACACTTGACTGTCTCAAATGCTATTTCCTTGTGAACCTGATTGCATCAATAAATTTGTTTTCGATTAAAAATTAACTATTTTATGATTTTTTTAAAACCGTCTATCCTCTCTGCCGCACCCTGTAGTTATGTCTTTAGTTAAGTGCCAAAATAGAAGATAGTATAGCATAGCTGAATGTATGCCACTGTTAAATGGTGTGTCTATAATTTAATGGTTGTTAGACTATAGTTGCATCAATGGGAGAATTAAGGTTGATTCTCACTATACATTCCGTTTCCATTCCATATCAGTTTTGTAAACGTTCCGTACAATGTGATTGTATACACAGTATACCTTACGGATAATGTGCATACACACGCAACAACCTGCTTTAAGCGAAGGCGAATATTTAATTTCAATAATTTATGGAACGGTTACGGAATGGAAACGGAATGTATAGTGAGAATCAATCTTTATAGTTTATTTTTGCTGTAATCAACGTCAGAGATAATTTAACAGCGCCATGCTAAGATTTTTTTGATAAAAACTGACCTGGAATGCAACCACTGAAAGCTGCTAAATGCAAAGCTCCCAAGCCTTGGGAGGGTTCGTGGTAGTTCAACTCGGCACCCAAACTGATAAAGCCTTGTAGAAGATCCCAGCGTTTGACGAAGGCTGCCCATAGAAAGGAGACACTCACTTCAGGCGCTGTAGCTCCATAAAAGATCTGAGAAAATGTAATTGTGGAGTATGAGGCAATATGCAGAACGGATTGAATTAGACCTACTCCGAAATAAAACTCTATCAAGATAAAGAAAATTGAATTCGTTGAACCCTGGTGAAAAACATGTCAGAGTGGAAGATTGGACTTTTGTTCTCTATATACTCGTAAGTTAGACGACGATTCGCTGTACCTGTATGCAAAGTCTAATTGCACTGTGGAATGAGGTTCTAAAAACACGAATATGCCTAGTATAGAAACTACATCCAAAGATAACATATAAAAAGTTCCCGCTAATGGCACTTTAAGATTTTACCTCAAATATTTGAATTACGATTTTTACAAATAAATGATTTAACAACAGACTATGTACGACAGATTCGAAATTAAATGCAGTATCTTAATGGAAAATACAAAAGCTGTTTTAAAAAATAGTGAGGCAAGAAAATGTGTTTCTTCTTTCCTGTTTGTGTGTCAAAATATTCCAATTTCTACGCCACTAGAGCTAGGATTTTATTGTGTATGAAACAAAATTGCATATTATATTTCTTTGAAATACAAAAAGGGTTCTGACTTCATATGCCCCGGCGACAAACCACTCCTTTTATCCGACCGCCACAGAAGGAGGGTTATGCTTTTCACGCCTGAGTATGTATCGAAAAAAATATATTTCACGAGCTACATCCTGAACAGCTTGATGGATGTTGACATATGAGTTGTTCCTGGATTCATCTTAGTGGTTTTAATAAAATTTTAAAAACTCAACATGGCGGACTTTAATAGAAGAAAATCGGCCTTGAAATCCCTATCTCACGGGCTACAACTTGAGCAGTTTAATAGCTTTTGATATTTGAGATATTGCTGGATTCGTCTTAGCAGTGTGAATGATAATGGCTATACAAACACTTTATAAAATCGAAATGGCGGATGTTAATCGTAAATATAAGGTCTGAAACTTCTAATTCCCGGGCTATAGTTTAAATAACTTGATGAATTTTCATATACAATGTGTCTCTAGATGTGTCTTGACATCGCGAGTGCTACTTGGTATAACAAAATCTCATAGTCAAAGTGACGGATATGTAATATAAAAAAAACGACAAAATATCAGATTGCTGACTAGACAGTGGCTAGTGTGCAAATGATTCATTCCTCTATTGCCCGCTATGAGTGCTGAGAGCGTCACCAAAAGCGTCATATGTGGAGGAATGATTCAAGGACATGTTCAATCACCGGATACAAGTCAGATTCCCAGCATGCTTTGTTGGTTGCAGAATGCCGAGATAGTCTGTAGAGTGTATCTCTGAGGAGATGTGTCAAAGAAAATTGGTTGAGTAACAGAGTAGCAAGATCTCGCATCCGGAAGGTTGTGTGGATTGGTTCTGGATGTGTATAAAATCAGTGATGTTTGCTGTGTGAGAAAATTATTACTGAATATGCTGCCCATAAAGTATATCTGTTAGTTGTACCACACAAAGCATAATCGCAATGCCTCGCATCTAGCCCCTGATTTGTATTTTCTATTTGACACCGCAAATTAAATTTCTATAAAATTTAAATGACTGGAAATATAAAATAATGTTAAATGCGATAAACTTTCCAGGTCGAAATAAATATTCATGTCTGTGGCGCATTTTGTCACCTTTTTGTTGTAACATTTTTCACTAACTAGGGATTTTCTTTTCTTATCTCTCTCATTTTTGAAATTCATCAAATTTTCATATGTAATTTCCAGGATGAATAAGAAAAAGTGGATGCGCAACTAATTTCATGGTTTGCATACACCTCAAGTAAATCCTCTCTACGCACCTATGCACTGTCTTTTCCGTCCAGCTATGGTACACAACTTATAGCTTAATAATGCCATCTCTGTAGCAGATTTTACATCACATCAGAGCCAAACATTAATAGCTGAAGCGTCGGGACGTTTAGGCAACACGTACAGCTACAAGATGAGGACACATCGAGCGAACAAAAGCTATTTCTAAGCTGGCATCTTGTAGAAAAACCAACATGATGTCCTGATGACATTCGTAGGGCTACAAATCTTATCCATGAAGTGAGAAACGCACTGCGCGAACTCTGCAACGAGCAATGGAGCGACTTTCTGACGGGAATGCTTGATTCAAGTATTCCTCTCTGGAGGGTCGCAAAATCACTCAGAAACGGAAAGCGAGAACAACTCTCGCACATCCGCGGTCCTGAAGGCATAGTCTTCAGAACGGATGATAAGGTCGAGGTTTCCGCTGATGCCATAGAAAAACAGTTCTTTCCCAACTATGATCTTGACAACGGCTTCGACGAGGAACAGCACATCGTACGATCCGTCAGGAGATATTTTAGGGCCAATGGCGTTAGCGGACGCAGAGAATAATCTTCAGATGACTCTTCTTCAGAAGATTCGTCTGAGGCTCCACATAGCACAGTAGTGGAACCCTCCAGGTTTCCACATTGCACACCAGCCGAGCTCCTAAGTCATAATAAAGCCCTCAAGGTGCGTAACGCACCTGGGGAGGATCAAATCACCAACAACGCGTTGAAGCTGCTCTCGCCGCAAGCCCTGACATAAAGTGGGTTCGATATTTCCTCAGGATAACCGTCCCATAAGTCAGCTGTCATATCCTTCTAAGCTCGGCGAAAAGGTGATTTATCGTCACCTTGAGAATTTTTCGTCAAATCACCATGTCATTCCTAACGTTCAAATCGGTTTTCTGTCCGAGCATAGCACCGCGCTACAGGCAGTCAGGCTGGTGGAACATGTAACCAGAGCGTTCACCCTCAGCATGAATACTGGCATCTTGCTTTTGGATGTCTCGAAAGCCTTTGACAAGGTGTGGCACGTGGGCCTCCTTTATAAACTAATCCAAAAGGGTTTTCCTTTTTGGCGTATAAAATTACTGAAATCCTCTCTTGAAGGAAGGAAGTTTCGGATTAAAATTAACAATCCTTTATTCGCTTTTTGTCCATGATGTCCCTTGCCCCAGCAACTGTGAAGTCTACCTCTATGCTGACGACACTGCACTTGTCGCCCAGTCGTGTACTGGTGATCTGGTTCTCGATGGGTTGCAGAGTGCGGTGGAAGAAGTACTAGAGTGGGCGCAACGGTGGCTGATTAAAATTAATCAGCAGAGGTCTCTGTAGACGACAATCGTGTACCATGGACAAACTCTGTCAAGTAACTCGGTGTCACCCTTGATAAAGACATGACCTGCCAGAAACATACAGCAGCCTTGAAAACAAAATTCCAAATTACGTTTCGGCAACTATATCCTTTGTTATGTAGATCCTCCAAATTGCGTTTGATAAACAAAGTTCGCCTATATAAAATGATTATTAGACCAGCCATTACTTATGCATGTGTGGCTTGGTGTTTTCTTGCCAAGACACATATGCAAAGTCTTGAAGTACTGCAAAACAGAACTTTGCGAACAATTTGCAACGCTACATGGTATGTTTCAAACGAGACACTACACTGAGACCTTGGCATTCCTTACTTGAGGGATTATGTCAAACTTCAGGCCCAGCTACGTTATAGTCAAGCGGAATCGCACAGCAACCCTCTGTTGCGCGACTCAGTTGATTACACAATGGAGCCAAAATGTAAACATTCAAGGCCATTCAAGGCCACAACTAGCGCGAACTTTTAGTAAACTTAAAATTACACTCTAACAAAACCAAATCAAAATTTGTTTAGTTCACCTCAAAATTAATCCGTGTACCAAGTCAAAAAGCCTAGATGTCTCCTCTTAAACTAAACACTTCTGTTTTTCTTTGCTCTTCCCCATTTTTCTTCTCTTTTCCTTTTTTCCTGGACATTGTCTGGTCTCGCGGAAACCAGTACTATCAGATTCGACTCACGTACATTAGACAGTGACTAATGGGCAAAGCTCCTACGGACCGCCCAGACAAACAAATGACGAATAGTGACCTATATGATGCCAAAAACACCGACATAATGTCACTTCTCAAGATTCGTAATACCCCTGCTGCTTGATAAATTTTGACGTTTGAGGTACACTTTTTCATATGTACTTGTCTTCATTTCATCTTCGTTATAGATCCTCTGATCCTCAGGTTCCCGTTCCTCTATCGTCGGAACTCCGTACAACCTCTGTGGTGTACCGTTACTAGATCTATCAGAGAAAAGGAAGATATATTAATGCTTCAAAGAAGCTCCCCTCCGTGAAATTAGCTCCAGTTGAGTGTATTAGGTGCACTCGCCAAGCTTCTGCTTGTCTAAATGACCAAAGTTGAACCAGGAAAGGCTTCATCAAGTTTTGCTCAATAGTCGCCTTAGGTTCAACACTCACATCTTTGTAGTTTTGTATTCCTGACCGATATCAATTTCAAATTTAGAAATTCTCTTGATTCGGTCAACTTAAGACACTTATTAAGAATACAACGTTTCGGCGACTTTAAGCGCCATCTTCAGGTACACATGAATTTATAGAATAATTGGTAAAAATAGTTAAATTTATGTTAGATAGATGTTGACGGTTTGAGTGTGCCGTTGGCATCCCTGATACCAGCAAACCGGTAGTCTACCCAACTTAGCAAGTACGCAATGCCGCAAGTTTTCCCTCTAAGAAAATAAGTTATGTCCGGGGGCCCTAAGTCTTCTTACCTTCACAATATTCTCTTGATCAACCTTGTTCTCCTGAATATCTTGCAGTAGCTCCAACCTCCCTCCCACCCCCTCCATATGATCCAGGAGACTGCGCTCCACCGTGTGATAGCACACCCTTACGGCCGTGTCGCTGGCAACGCTCCCTTGGTCTTCGAAAAGGTCGAAAATGTTCGGCACCTCATCGCCAGGTGGCGATGGACCGCAATCTATGAACTCGTCGTAAGCGCTGTTCAGTTTCAAGTCCAACGGTTCCTGGTGATTGCTGTCCGAGCACTGTTGTAACGGGATGCATTCTTCTTGAGCATCCATGCTGAAAAACCAAATATTAAAAAAATAATATGGATCCATTTATATTACCTCGGATCTCCATGCATTGCCTCGGACCTACCAATTTTATAGGAAATTTACTCGGTTCTTTTTCGCCTGAGATAGAAAACCTCCTTCGATACCTTCAGGGCTCTCTCGAGTTGCCTCAAATTTTCTTAGACCCGTTACCCAGGGCTGAATCATTGTCCACCCCCACCTTCGTGAAGGAGATGGCGGTACAACCTAGCAGAGCCCGCAGCAAGCCCAAGGTATAGTCTGAATTCAGGTAATATTTCGCTACTTCGTTACTATGATTACTTAGAAACCCCCTAATGAATAAGTAGACAGTCCTATTTTTCCATATGTTATTGAAAAATTAAAAAAAGCTATAGAGATTCATAGGTTTTGCAATATTTGTCAGAGTAGTAAAAATGCTTCAGTCGATTATTTACGGATGTACAAGTTAATGCCGCGTATCGACAATGCAAAACTAACTGACGGTCTACTTTTTGATATATTTTTTTTTTATATCGAAACAGCCGCGCTTTGATTGTTGTGTCTTGTTGCTTCTTGCAGTTTCTTGTTACTTCATGTCATTTCTTGTTGTTTATTGTTTTTTGTTGTTTCTCATTGTTTCTCGTTGTTTCCCCTTGTTCCTCGTTATTTCTCGTTGTTTTTCGTTGTTTCTCGTTGTTTCTTGATGTCTCCCATTGTTTATTGTAGTTTCTTCGTTGTTTATAGTTGTTTTCCGTTGTTTATCGTTGTTTCTGGCTTTTCTCGTTGTTTCTTGTTCTGTGCCATTGTTTTTTGGTTGTTTCTCGTTGTTACTTGTTGCTTCTCGTTGTTTATTGTTATTTCTCGTAGTTTCTCGTTGTTTCTTGTTATTTTTGTTATTCCTTGTTATTTCTTGTTATTTCTTGTTATTTCTTGTTATTTCTTGTTATTTCTTGTTATTTCTTGTTATTTCTTGTTATTTCTTGTTATTTCTTGTTATTTCTTGTTATTTCTTGTTATTTCTTGTTATTTCTTGTTATTTTTTGTTATTTCTTGTTATTTTTGTTATTTCTTGTTATTTCTTGTTATTTCTTGTTATTTCTTGTTATTTCTTGTTATTTCTTGTTATTTCTTGTTATTTCTTGTTATTTCTTGTTATTTCTTGTTATTTCTTGTTATTTCTTGTTATTTCTTGTTATTTCTTGTTATTTCTTCTCATTTCTTGTTATTTCTTGTTATTTCTTGTTATTTCTTGTTATTTCTTGTTATTTCTTGTTATTTCTTGTTATATCTTGTTATATCTTGTTATTTCTTGTTATTTCTTGTTATTTCTTGTTATTTCTTGTTACTTCTTGTTACTTCTTGTTATTTCTTGTTATTTCTTGTTATTTCTTGTTATTTCTTGTTATTTCTTGTTATTTCTTGTTATTTCTTGTTATTTCTTGTTATTTCTTGTCATTTCTTGTTATTTCTTGTTATTTCTTGTTATTTCTTGTTATTTCTTGTTATCTCTTGTTCTTTTTTGTTATTTTTAATTATTTCTAGTTATTTCTTATTATCTCTTATCATTTCATGCTACTATTTCATTTTATTTTTTATAATTTCTTGTTTCTTGTCGTTTCTTGATATTTCTTTTTGCCTGCTTTTATTACTAGAAAGTCGGCTATTTGATAACATTGATTGATCTTCAATAGTCACAGCCATGTAGCTAAGCAGGGTTTCCCCAGAAGATTGTGCCTCAAACTGCCTCAGAATTATTCCAAAGCTTCCGTATTCTGGGAATGTTCCAGCGGCAGCAAAGGAAATCCATTGTCTGCGGCGACATTCCAAGACCCGGGAACGTCGACACCAGAGGACGACATGTACACATATACTTAACTTTTATGATGAAACTTTCAGCCTTTGGTAATATCAAATAATAACAAAGAGTCACACATCCTAGTAAATTTTTCCTAGAATTAGAATGGCGTATAGTTTGCTCTGATAAATGTACGTTATAAATTGATCTCTAACTTCTCTGAGACCGCCTGTATATCAAACTTTTTGTCTAAGCGGCTTTGGAAGAGGGGAATAATTCACACCCTCTACATACGGTTGAATAGAAAAAAATAACCTCAAGTAGATTGACTCCTCATCAGTTCAAGAAGTATTATTGTTATAAGAAAATCAGTTAACTACGAACATGTATTATAATACAAGAAAAGTGGATCAAGTGACCCAAATAGATCCATACAATTAGCCGTGGTCCAACCCATTTGATAAGAAACGTTCTCCCTGCCGTTACTGCAAGAATCGACCATCTAACAATGTCAGCCGTACTATGCTGGCTCGCTCGAGCAGAAATTATACGGTAGTCTCAAGACAGAATTTTGAGAGACCGGGAAGTTCGTAGCGTACGGCTAATGCGACACAGGTGTGAATCGTATGTTTGATATTTCTGGCAAGTTTTTAATGTCCGGATAATTTGTCAGATGAGATGCCTCTTAAACGCCAAGAAACGAAGTTTGAGCAGTTTTTTTTGGCTGCCGATTTCCAAAATCTCTTCGTCTTTGGCACAATAGTAATATTGTAAGAAAATATCATCCAAATCCGAGCAGTACCTTCCAAGTTATAGTTTTTGGTGATGTATAGTACATATCATATAGCACTCAAAAAACATATCTGGTTTACGAATTTCGAGTATTCTAGATGTGCACCAGCGTGATTATTCCATTACCTTGGCAGTCACCTAACGATTTACTAAACTAGACTATAATTATATAATACGGTAAACAAGATCGTCGTTGTTTTATCAATAACCACATCGCGAATTCAATCGAGATTACTCTCATCAATTTTTATTACAGAAAGATGGTACTTACCTTATATTCCCAAGCACACCATTACACCGATTTTTATCAACAGCGCGCCGTAAGAAAGTTAAAAATATTTCGTGATAATTTGAGATAATCCCTTGTAAATCCAACGAAAACAGACAATGAGCTTTGAGATTTGTTTTATGGGCATGATGTACTAGGATGGCACAATATAAGTTGCGCGATTGTACGTACGTATGTTCGTTTGACGCGGTTCTTAGCCGGGACTAATCTGTTCTAAAGTACGTAATTACCAACGATAAGAAAATTGTCCTCAGTACCTTTGTGAATCAAATTGCTGTTGCTCTATTTTTGTTCTCATGATGTTGTGGAAGATTCAGCGCAGTTATCCGGTACATGATACGTTCGAACTTTGTTAGAGGCCATGTCAATAAAAATCAGTAATAAGACTTTTATGCGGTAAGATGTTGCTAGTAAAACCTTACTGAAAAATGTTGAAAATTTAGTGTAAGAGGACAGTGTTAAGGTCTTTTTTCGACCGATTTATCTCTCTCTTTATGGACGCTGTTCGTTTGAAAACCTCCCACCTCGGATTTATCGAAAACCACTGATTAAAAGGAAAAACGCCGAGACACGTCAAAAGATTTGCCAAAAACTACTTTACCCCTTTCACCCTCTCCCCTCCAGGGCCATCCCCTTGAAAATTTCAAATAACAAGGGGTATCTAGTAATAGCTTGTTTGAAAGGTCTTCCGAAGTCCTTGATTCTGACGTTTGATTTTTTAAATCGGTCGATTAGTTTTCAAGAAAATTAGAAAAATCTTCATTTAACTTAATTTGTTCAGAGAGGAAACAAAAACACACGAAAATATCACTTTTTATTTCAATAAGTGTTCAAAATGTTGCCCGCTATTGACCAAACAATGATATGTGCGATGTTCAAATTCCTAACGGACATTTTCAAAAACATTTGATGCGTTGACAAAGTTCATCCAAAACTTATAAGGAGTAAACACGATAGATTTCAAATGGCCCTATAGAAAAAAGTTTAATGGCGTCAAATCAGAAGATCTACCAGGCCATTCTATAGGCCCTCTTAGCCCTATCCATTTATCTGGAAACTCGTCGTCTAGCCATTGCCGAACCGGAAGCCTCATCAAGTATAGGGCTTCCATCCTCTTCGATTTGGTTTGCAATGGTTTTATCGATAAGCGGATTGATGGCATTTTCCAGCATATCCAAATAAATGTCTCCATTCAAATTTCCATTATTAAACAATGACCCAATCACCTAAAATGCCTGCCCATACATTAATTTTTTGAGGGTACTGGGTATGCCTTCTATAAAAGCATGAGGATTTTCATTGCTCCAATTCCTGTAGTTATGTTTATTAACAAATCTATTTAGATAACATGTGCATTCATCACTGAAGCAGACAACCTTTACATGAATGGTATTATCACTAATCGCTGCAGTCATTTGTTCACAAAACTCAACTTGCCTATCGAAATCATCTTCGGTTAACTCTTCCAATATTTTTATTTTGAATGCATGAATTTTATGGAGTTTAGTGTGTGTACAGACAGACCCTAATGAAATACCAGTTGCAGCGTAATGAAATATTAGAATGTATTCCAAAATGACCCATATCTTCAGCTTGAGCGGCTTCATCCAAAAATTAATTTTCACTATCCCAAGATTGTCACAAATAACCAAACAGGTATAACAATAAATACAATTCGCCCAGGATATCTGTGTTGGTGAAAATAATGCGGAAAATTCGGGTTGTTGTTTGGTTGTACCCACGTCGAATCTTCCGGATTGCTGTATATATTGCTAGCTTCCGTTTTAAATTATATACGAATGGTAGATTTGGCAAGCCCTAATGGGCAACATTTTGAACACTTATTGAAATAAAAAGTGATATTTTCATGTGAGCAAATTAGGATAAATAAAGATGTTTCTAATTTTCTCGAAACCGAATCGACTGATTTTAAGAAATCGAACGTCAAAATGAAAAACTTCGGAAAACCTTTCAAACAAGTTTTACTAGATACCTTGTCATTTAAAATTTTCAAGGGAATGACCCTGGGGGCAAGGGTGAAAAGGGGGGAAGTAGTTTTTGGTTAAAAAGTTGTCCCCCTTGATAAATCTTTTGACGTGTCTCGGCGTTTTTTCTTTTAATCAGTGGTTTTAGATAAATCCCTGGTGGAAAGTTTTCAAATGAACACCCAGGGTATCTCGAAATTGAAGGATAACCTATATGGTGAAACTTTGCTTTAGTGAAAGCTTTATAGTTTGCGAGCGCATTTAATTCTATTGTTGAAAAGCTAGCTTCTATTCATTTAATCACGAGCCATTTCTTTAAATAACGACCTTTTTTATCTTACCTAGTATTATTTTGTCTTAAGATAACCACATAAGAATCATATCAGAGTCTAAAGTTCAATAATAAACCATTCTCACATCTGACTTTGACAGCCTGTAATGTCAGAGAATCAAGTATGATCATCGTGCTAATTAGTCGAAAAAGTTGGTTGGTCATTGGAAATTTTTAGATGGCATTATTGTTATTTACTCTCTTCTATTATTTTTTTTAATTGCAGTGCTAGTAGGGAAGGGTCAGCTTACGCGAATTCAAAAAACTTGCTTCAAGTAGCTTGACGCTGCATTTTCCCACGCAACGCCGTCATCAGTTCAACACAAGTTAAACCTTATGAGAAATAGGTTAGCTACGAACATGTACAACATGTAAATTTAACCGATCACGCAGGAAAAGAGTCATACCTGACAGAACAACGCGTCAGTTAAGCTAGAACACTTACCAAGAGCGATAAGCTCGCCACTGATTGTGCAAATATACCGGGGAACGTATGATGAGATAAATATGTCTAAAATGTGCATAGAACTACCGAGGTTGGGAGCGCATAAAGGTACCAACATCAAATAAATTCAGATAACCTCCCCCCTCCAATTTGTTACCCCTAAAATGTCTTTCATAAATGATCAGGAGCCTCTGAAATGCCAAAAAACGAAAATTAAGCGATTTTAATTTTTTTTTGTTTTTGAAAGTTTTTGGCATTTCGGTATGATGGTACGATATATCTTTATTATTTATTATCTAGAACCATAATATTTCCACGACCGCTTCAGGTAGTCATCCAACCGAGTTGTGCTTCCATGCTACCAGCCATGAGTAAAGTCTTATTATTATATTTGTGTTAAAAAAAATGTCATAAATATGTCTCGTTATTTTAAGGTGCTGTTGTTTTATTAGCTATTGTTAATTCTTGTAATGGTACCTTTGTGCCTGGTAATTCAAATAATCTATGACAAAATATCATGAAATAATTAAGATTAATTCTTCCATAATAAAAGCTTTGTATCGTTACTTTTTTCTCATTATCATAGTTAAAATTTGCAGAAGTCGTAATTTATGGTTGTGTAGCACATGTTCAAATTTTATGCAGAGTCTTTCAGATTTGACCCTTACCATTGCGATCTCGGAAACTGTAAGAGATACGAAGTCGCTTAAATGGGGGCACAGTTGCGCATTTAGGTAATTGACAAAATACCACTTAGAAAGCATCGAAATTTTAGGTAGGTAAAGATGGAAAAAACCGACGCAAGGTTTAAATATATATGTACGAGCCCCTTCCCACTTCAGTTGGCCCAACTATTGAAATCTTAGTTTTTTTCTTATCAAACCCAAATAATAAAAATGTAGGAGTGTGTTATAGGTTTAAAATATTAACAATGAATATTTTGATAATATATAGTAGAAAACGCCAACTTTATCACTCCCTAATCAAATTTGCAGCATAAAAATAACACATGTTGCAATTACAGCATACAACCTATTTTCATTTCAATGCAAAATAAGTCTACAACGCATAGGTGGCTGTGAAAAATAAAAGTAATGACAATTGTTTTTATTAATCACAGCTGTCAGAATACGTTTAAAATAGTTCTGGGTAGTTAAGGTTTTCAAAATGGGTAGAGGAAAGGTTATTAGTGAGAAAATTCGGTTACTGATAATTAAATTTTTTAATTCTGGGAAATCAAACTCAGAAATTGCAACTTTGTTAGACTTATCGCGGTACAGCGTGAGAAATATTGTTAGAAGATGTAACGTAACTGGTTCAGTTAATATTAAGCCACGATGTGTGAAAAAAAGTAATATCACAAATGCCGACCGAAGAGCATTAAGAAGAATAATCATGAAAAACAGGCGTGCCAATTATTTACAATTAAGTGCTCTGTGGAGTGACGCTGTTGGAAGGAGAATTTCGAGGTCCACAACTCATAGAGAGGCCCGCAAACTGGGATTTAGCACTTGCAAGGTAAGTTTTCTTATAAAAAAAGTGAAGTAAAAACCCTAAAGTTGCACAACTTGTTTATAGGCCAAAGAAAAGCCACTATTAACTCCACTGCAAAAGAAAAATCGGCTTAGATGGGCTAAAGAACATAGACAATGGACACCTCAACAATGGTGTGCAATATAATGGAGTGCTGAGGCCCGATTCGAAGTTTGTGTTGGTGACAGTCGCAGTCGAGTTATTCGCAAAAAAAATGAAGCATTCCATGTTGACCGTCGAAAGAGAAAAGTGAAATTTCCAGCATCCATTATGGTCTGGGACAGTATGTCATCAAAAGGAGTAGGAAAGCTTCATTTTATTGATGGAAATGTGGATAAAAACAAATATTTGGCAATTTTAGAAGAAAGAAGAATCGGTTTTACCAGTGATGGAAGAGTGTTTGACATCCGGCCAAGATTTTGTGTTTCAGCAAGATGGTGCAGCGTGCCATACCTCAAAAAAGGCTATAAAATGGATGGAAGAAAATAATGTACCACTTTTGAAATGGGTTTCTAGCAGTCCAGATCTGTCACCTATTGAAACTTTGTGGCACAAGATGAAAAAGGTTCTACGACAACATCCTGCTCGTACAATCACCGAACTGAGACAAAAGCTTCAAGAAATATGGGATTGTTCTACACCAGATTTTTGCCAAAACTTGGTTAACACTATGCCCCAAAGAATTTCAGCCGTAATAAAAAATAAAGGTGATGTTACCCAATGGTAATCTTTCAATTGATGCTTTGTTAACTTCGCGCATTTAATCGCACATTGCTTATTTGTTCAGATGTTCTATTAGTTATAGGTCTAAGTGATTTCAAATATGTATGTTTTACGACTAGAGTGTATCTGAAATGTTTTTGAGAAAATAAATTGTTTTAGAAGTAAATAGTTTCGTCATGTTTAGTTTATAGAGGCATATTTTGGTACAAATCTTGAAGTGGGC